GTTTTGTAAAGAAAGTTCTTGTCATTTTTTGCTTTGTAAAGAAAGTTTTTGTCATTTTACGTTTTGTAAAGAAAGTTCTTGCTATTTTTTGTTTTGTAAATAAAGTTCTTGCTATTTTTTGTTTTGTAAATAAAGTTCTTGCTATTTTTTGTTTTGTAAAGAAAGTTCTTGCTATTTTTTGTTTTGTAAAGAAAGTTCTTGTCATTTTATGTCTAAAACCACATATTTACAGCCCTGCAACCTGCGAGTGACAAGTTATACGATGAATAATTTTTCAAGAATAAACTGTCAAGCCAATCCACAAGTTAGCCGACTAAAAATCAAGTCAATTACAGAACATTGAAAATTAAGTCTACAAAACGTTCCAAATTCATATTATTATCGACGACTCGGCTAATTCGATTGTCTCCCCTCTTGTACGACATTATAATTGTGTCATAACACCGCGACCTTCACCGAGACAAAAGGTGAATGACCCAATTATGGCTCTACAATACTTTCTAAGCCCGTTAAAAGTACTTGTCGCTGGCTGCAGCCGCCTATTGTCTCTGAAGGGGGGGGGGAGGTGAGGGGGGGGGGAGGGGGGGGGGCGACGCATCCGCGCGACAACGTTAGACGGTGACTTTTCGAGGGAACGGCGAGACTGCGGGCTGGACTGTGTTTACTATGGGTGAATATTGACATTAATGTTAGTACTAGGCAAGGGAATTGAAGGGGCATTGAGAAAAAATTGGGCGGGGTAATTTTTATTTTTCTGAATGGAGGGGAGGGAAAAGCGGAAAGGGGGCGAGGAGAGAGCTTAAGTATTTTACAGTGAGGAAATATTAATGTAAAGCAATCATTTTTAAGTGGGAATTCAAAAAAATTGGGCGGGGTAATTTTCATTTTTGGGGGGGGGGGAGGTAAAAAAATTTTCAAAACTTTTTTTTAAAAACGTTTTTAAATTAAACACAAAAAAATTATTTTTATTTTGTTTTAGTTTTAAAGAGGCATTAATACTGCACTGTGCAGTCAAAATCTCATCAAAACGTTTTGCACGGTGCAATGAAATTTTTAAAATCAATTTTTCTTATTATTGCCAAGGTTTTATAGACACAAAATGTTAGTGAAAAACATACCTATTGCAAAGTAGAATTGTTATATCAAAAAATCAAATTTATAATTTCAACGGTTTTTGAAATACAATTTTTTTAAAAAAATTGATTGCACGGTGCAAAATTTTTCTGATATTTTTGGATGCAATGTGCCATTTTAGAGTTACTAAGTAAATACTGACTTTTTTAACCTTATTTTTCAAGAATTTCATAAAATTAAAAAAAATAATTTTTTATCCCCCCCCCTCCCCAAAAAAAAGAAAGTTACCCCGCCCTAATTTTTTTTGTAAAAACTGACCAAGATAGTAAAATTAGTAGTGAAATTTATAATTTTAGCTTTATAAATGAAGTTTTCTATCTCACCTCTCTTCTTTAACCATTATCTCTCGTTTTCCACGTTCTATTTCCCTCTCAATCACCACGATAAACCGTTCTGCTGTGTTCGTTTCCTTTGTTTTTTTAATTCTTTTTTTTTCTTAAGGCGGAGAAGAAGTGGAGGGGGGGGTTTGGTTGATTACACGAAAAGTCTTATTGTACTGAGAATAACACAGAGACTGATATGACTCATAACAGCCGGAGGGAACGAGGGGAATCTTCTGTTATTGGGCATGGAGTGTGATTTTATAATCATTTAAGGGGGAGGGGGAGGATACGGTAATGGTTTTTGGGGTTTAAGTAGAGTAGGGTAAGGGTATTTTAGTAGTCGGGGAAAGGAGGAGGGGTTAATTGGGGGGTAGAACGGACTTTAGGTAAGGGCTTGGATAAGGCTTAGGTTATAGTATTTTAGAGAGGGGGGGGGGGATACTTGGGGGCTAGGGGCAAAGCCAGGGGCAAGGCCAGGGGCAAGGCCAGGGGCAAGGCCAGGGGCAAGGCCAGGGGCAAGGCCAGGGGCAAGGCCAGGGGCAATGCAAGGCAAGACAAGCCAAGCCAAGCCAAGCCAAGGCAAGGTAGGGTAGGGTAAAGTAGGGTAGGGTGGGGTAGAGTATTATATTTACTGTACATCAATGAGTCAAAACTTCCTCTGTTTATGACTTATGACTACTCTCTTGTAAATATACTTTGCATACGTGCCAATTTGTAACATTGCAAAAAAATTATTTTATTTTTTGATTTTCTTAATTAGCAGACTTATTGTTATTATAGTATGGTAGCTTGCCATTTTTAAACATGGTAATTACGAAACGGTTTGAAGAAGCTCTATTAGTTTTGAAGAATGTGTCATAATTACTGGTTTTAAGGTTAAATTTCAGCTTTGGCAAGTTTTAATTTTAGTCTATCAAAATGTGTTTGACATTTGCCTACAATGTTTATATGTCACCATGACAACATGTGTAGGGTCGAATTGAAAATTTTAAAAAATTTAAGTTTACTGGTCATCATAATAGACATCATTTAAAAAAAATTAATTTTTTTTTCTTTTATGTGTGTTTAATAATGGCACTAATTTCACTGCACAGTGCAATTTATAAAAGCCAAAATCTTGCACGGTGCAATCAATTTTAAAAAAAAATCATAACTCAAAAATTTTTGAAATTTTTAATTTTATTTTTTAATATTCTGTTTGTATGTTACATTAGCTATGTTTTTCATTAACATTGTGAGTCTAAAAAACAATGGCAAAATTGAGAAAAATTGATTTTAAAAAAATCATTGCACCGTGCAAAAATAATTTGTGTTTTTGATTGCACCGTGCATTTTTACTGCTTGATTTGAATTGAAAAATAAAAATTTGAGATGTTCGTGTTGGGCATGGGTCATTTTTTTATGATTTTGAAAGTTTTTATTTTGAAAAAGAAATTTTTTTGATTTTTTTAAAATGTTTTTAGGTATAAAATGCCATTTTTTATTAACACCTTCAAGGAAAACTCAAGTGTTTTGCCATTTTAAAGCTGAATATGAAACACTAAGTTGTTCAATTAATTCTGAGCCTCTAACCTTGAAATTTTGGTGTTTGCACATTTTTTTTTTTGATAGGGCGCAAAATTATTTGAACAACCTATTAGTTTTTCAAATAGTTCTATGCCCCCTCCTTTTACCCTTAAAATTTGTTTTGAGGAAGAGGCACAGAATTATTTGAACAAGAAAATTGGTTGTGGGGATGGGCACAGAATTATTTGAACAACGTAGTAGCTAACCTGATAGCTCGTTCAAATAGTTCTGTGCCCCCTCTCTTTGCCCTTAAAATTTGATTTGAGAAAGGGGCACAGAATTATTTGAACTTTTTAATATCATGTCATTTCACTGTCCACCCCCATTACAACGACAATGTCGTTGTAAACCCACTTCATTGAACTTTGTACATGTTTCGTAATGCGATTTTTGTCGTTTCGCGCGATTTTTTTTCATTGGAATTTTTTTTGAATTTTCACGTTTTTGTCTTTTCGTAAATCATTTTTAATTCGTTTTTCTCTTTCGAATTATGGAGAATTTACCAATTTCTTTTGTCTTTTCATCAAGTTCGCCTTACAAGGAAAGTAACCCTGCCCCGCTGAGAATCAGCTCAAAATTTTTCTATGAATTCTTTGTACCACCAATAGTACCCATGAAAATTTTTAACTCGCGCTCTTGAGTTTTAAATTTAAATTATTTGGGGTTCCCGCCAACTTGGCAAATTTGGCATTGTGTTTCAAGCACTTTTTCGGCTTTCCAGACAAGATACGCTTACAAATTTAAAAATTTAGGTTTATTAAGAGGTATTCTACTAGTATATTAAAGAAAAATAATTAAAAGTCAAAAAATGACAAAATTACAAGCTTGAAACACAATGCCAAATTGGCGGGAAATTCAAAATTTTATTTTTTAAACTCGATTTTAAACCAAAAAATGGCAAGAACTTTCTTTACAAAACAAAAAATGGTGATAACTTTCTTTACAAAACTTAAAATGAGATCCATTGTATAACTTGTCGCTCGCAGGCCGCAGAACATGCATTTTTAATTTTTAACGCAGAAAATGGCAAGAACTTTCTTTACAAAACATGAAATGGCAAGAACTTAATTTACAAAACAAAAAATGGCAAGAACATTCTTTAAAATTCAAAAAATGGCAATAACTTTCTTTACAGGAGAATAGTTTTGCGATGTTTTGAAATGTGAAAAAATGGTTTTGCGACGCCTCGAAAGCGACAAGACAGTAGTTTTTTTAACTCTCGAATCGTGACGTTTTCTGGAGGTTTTTTGTCTTGAAAGTTATGACTGCGCTGAAGGGATTTTACTTTACTACTTATTGTTTGGGCGGTTTTTGTGGTTTGACGTGGGGCTGGTGATTCAAAACGGATTACTGATGGGTTTGGTTGGGCTACTGTAATTTGTTAGCTTTGTAAAGAAAGTTCTTGCCATTTTTTGCTTTGTAAAGAAAGTTGTTGCTATTTTTTGTTTTGGAAAGAAAATTTTTGCCATTTTTTGTTTTGTAAAGAAAGTTCTTTCCATTTTTTGAATTGTAAAGAAAGTTCTTGCCATTTTTGTTTTGTAAAGAAAGTTTTTGCTATTTCTCCTCTATTAATTTTAAATAATGTTCTGCAGGCTGCGAGTGACATGCTATACGACGGACATTATGTTTATGATTTGTAAAGAAAGTTCTTGCTATTTTTCATTCTGTAAAGAAAGTTTTTGCCATTTTAAGTTTTGTAAAGAAAGTTCTTGTCGTTTTTTCTCTAAAACCTCGAATAGCTTGTTCTGCAACGTGGGGACGACAAGTTATACGATGAATCTTTTTTAATATTTCAAACTGTTATTTTTTAATTTTCTCTGTAAAGAAAGTACTTGTTATTAACTTTTTAAAATTTTTTAACGTTTTTCCGTATTTTACATAAATATATACATACTCTAAGGGCATATTACCACGATCAAACTACATTTTTATGTACTGTAATATTGTTGTTGTTCATTATAAGTTATACCTTTTGTTATGTTCTGCCTTATTTTTGTAGTAGGTGAGGGTGGTATAAATTTTGTTGTACTTTTTGTTTGTATTTTGGGTATTTAACCTGGTTTGCTACCTAAACGTTTGTTTTTAAAAATTTTTAAATTTATGGTTTTTTAAAGAAAGTTCTTGCTATTTTTTGTTTTGTAAAGAAAGTTTTTGCCACTTTACTATCTGTAAAGAAAGTTCTTGCCATTTATTGTTTTTAAAAGAAAGTTCTTGCTATTTTTTGTTTTGTAAAGAAAAGCCTTGCCATTTTTTGCTTTGTAAAGAAAATTTTTGCCATTTCTGAGCTATAAACTTAATTTATGGTTCGGCAGGCTGCGGGTGACATGTTATACGATGGATGTTATGTAATGTGTTGTTAAGAAAGTTCTTGCCGTTTTTTACTTTGTAAAAGTTTTTGCTATTTTTTGTTTTGTAAATAAAGTTCTTGATATTTTATGTTCTGTAAACAAAGTTGTTGCCGTCTCATGTCTTATATAGCAAGTTCATCCTATTTCTTATTTTGTAAAGAAAGTTATTGCCATTATTTTTTCTTATAAATTTTTTAAATTGTGAATCTCCCGCGCATTTCCAACCGAATTTAAATGCCAAAAATCATTTTTTCATATTTAAATTTCACAAATTTTCAGAAAGTCCCGCGTTGAACACGCCACACCTTCAAATCGACCGGTCGACAACAACAGCGCTGAGGCTGCACGGTGCGGTCGGCACCATGAAATTTCCGTACGATGGGTCCAATTCGGTTATCACGAATACGGTAACACAGTTCCCGTTGAATTCGAATTCGGTGATTAAGACGGCGCCCTCGCGCAACTCCCAACACTTTGTGACCAAAGAAGAGGCTCTGGACATGGGCACATTGGCTGGGGATGGCATTCAGGTAAGTATCATTTTTTTGAGAATGGAGGGTGGGTTGATGGGAAGGGGGGGGGGTGTATGAAGTATGGCAAAGAGGAGGGCTGTATGGAGTACGAAAAGAGGGTGGGGTGTAGATGAGAAGATATGGGGGTTGTTGGAGGGGAGATGGAAAAGGATGAGGTGGCCGTGGGGTAATTGATAAAAGAGGGTATACATATTTAAGCGTTTTAGGCTTAAAAATGTGATTTTAGGCTTGAGAATATAATTTTAGGCTTATAATGAAAGTTAGGCTTAAGAAGCAGCTCTTGGCTTTAGAAAGGCATTTTAGGCCTTGTTCATTGGCAGAGGGGAGGAATTGATGTTGTGGACGGGATATGAAAGAGGAGGGAATAAAGCGGCTTTGAAATGAACTTTAGGCTTAAAAAGCAAAGTTTGGCTGTTAAAATAACTTTTAGGCTTAAAAACGAATGTTAAGCTTAGAAATGAAATTTTCGGCTTAGAAACAAAGTTTTAGGCTTAGAGATGAATTTCAAGCTTAAGAATTTCAAATTAACTTCTATGCTTTAAAAATTGTAGGCTTAGACTGTAAACCTTAGGCTTAAGTTTTCAATTTTAGGCTTAGAAACGAATTTTTTAGTTTAAAAGTTAAACATTAGGCTTAACAGTTAATTTTTTAAAATTTTTTTGAAATTTTTGCACTTTTGTCTTCTGCCGCGATTACTTTACTCTCAACAATAACCCTTTTTACTTTCGTTTCCAAGTAAACCCCGTATGTTGGTGTTATTTTTGGACGTATTTGCGCAACATTATGACTTATATTTGTTGTTATGCGACCCGCATTGTCTTCTGGGTCATTCAGAAGACAAAAGTATTTTTGGGTCAGGACAATGTGCTACCGTACCCCATGAACAGAAAAACTTTGGAGAGAACATTAAAGAACACAATTTATGGGGGAAGTTTATGTCGATGAGTTAAGCGACGAGAATGCATTGTTCCATTGTCTTCGACTACTTAATGCTTTAGGGGCTTGTAGATGAATGCTTAATAGGGTAGAGGGGAGGGGAGGGGAGTTTAGGTTTAAAAATGAAATTAGGCTTATAAATAGAAGTTTAGGCTTAAACATGAAGCTTTAGGCTTGAAAATGACATTTCAAGACTAAAATGAATTTTTAAGCTTAAAAATGAGAGTTTAGGCTTATAACTATATTTTAGGCTCAAAAAATGAAATTAGGCTTATAAATAGAATTTTAGGGTTAAAAATGAGATTTTAGGCTTAAAAATGGATTTTTAGGCTTAAAATTGAGATTTTAACTATAAAAATGAGTTTTTAGGCTTAAAAGTGAGATTTTAGGCTTAAAAACAAGCTTTAGGCCTAAAACTGAATTACAGGTTTAAAATGAGAGTTTGGGCTTAAAGATGATTTCTAGGCTTAAAATAAGATTTAAAATTTATTGAAAAATTTTAGGCTCAAAAAAAGAGTTATATGTAGGCTTAAAAATTGATTTTTATTCTTACAAATGGATATTAAGTTTAAAATGGACTTTTAGGCTTAAAAAATGAGTTTTAGGCTTACAAATGAGAGCCCCGGCTTAAAAATGTCCTTAAGGTTTAAAATTGAAATTTTAGGTTTAAAAATGATTTTTAAGCTCAAAATTGATTTTCAGGCTTAAAAATGATTCTTAGGCTTATAAATAAACTTAGGCTTAAAATGAGTTTTTCATTAATAGTTTTAAACCATTCAAGCCCTGACGAAAAGTGCGAATTCTTTAAAAAAACGATGACAAAAGAACGATCACCCAAATCCGCATTGTCGGCGTTCTGTTTTTCGCGCCCGATTACACAGGCCATCCGCGTTCTCACAGTCCATTCCCAACGAAAAACGAAAAGCGCTTTCCGTCCAATCGCCTCCGGCGCTTTCAAGCGATTTATTTGTCGAGAAGCGAAGATGAATGAGTTTGACGTGATAACGTTTGTTGATGAGTGAAGGAAGAGATTGAAAATGGATTAGCCGGCTATTTTTGGTCTAGGGCTAGGATAGAATTCTAAGATTATTTTAAGCCTACAAGTTCGTTTTAAGCTAAAAAGCCGTTTCTAGGCTTAACATTCTGTTTTAAGTCCAAAATTCTTTTTGAGCCCTAAAAGTCATTTTAAGCCTAAAACCCTATTTTAAGCTTAAAAATTCAATTTTAAGCTTAAGGATTCATATTTAAGCCTAAAGCTCATTTTTAGCTTACAAGCTCATTTTTAAGCTTAAGACTCATTTTTAAGCCTAAAAATTCAGTTTTAAGCTTAAAACTCGTTTTCAAGCCTACAAACTCATTCTTAAGTCTAAATTTCTATTTTTAAGCCTAAAAATTTAGCCTTAAGCCTAAAATTTTATTTTTAAGCTTAAATCTTTTAGCCTAAAGGTAAATTTTAAGCTGAACATTTAATTTTCAAGCTTAAAAGCCGCTTCTAAGCCTAAAATTCTATTTTTAAGCCTAAAATTATATTTTTAAGTTCAAAATCCTATTTTAAGCCTAAAAGTCATTTTTAATTTAAATTCATTTCTAAGCCTAAAATCCTATTTTCAAGCCTATAACTCATTTTTAAGCCTACAAATGCAGTTTTAAGCTTAAAATTTTATTTTTTAAGCCTAAAGTCATATTTTAAGCCTAAAATTTTATTTTTAAGCCTAAAACTCATTCTGAAGCCTTAAAATTCAGTTTTAATTCTAAATCTCATTTTTAGCCTATAAACTCGTTTTTTAGCCTAAACTTTCCTTTTTCACTAAAATTTTTATCGTTAACTCCCATACCCTAGAGCTAGGCTTCAAAACTTTTGAAATTCAAATTTCAAACGAAGGAGCATAAGAGTTGCAATTAGGGCAGATTTGCATTAAAAACACGATGGGTGAGGCTTTAATGAGATGAAGGGATCTCTCATCTGTTTGCCGACCCCAACATCAGGAGTCATAAAGTCACAACGTCGCGTTGATTGAATGGCTTCTGAATCTTTCGGCGCAAAGAACATCTGCATTACATTTTTAATGGAATTCTCCGTCGCGATGAATCCGAGGGATTCGAAGCCATTGAGGAAGAATGGGAAGATCGATCTCTCGCGAGACGATCACAGTTCACATGATGTTGTAAAGCGAAAAATTTTTAAATGATTGAGAATCGCAGTGAATTCGAATTATTGTGACATGCAAAATAGCACTACGTTGACATAAAGAAACAATCTAAAAAGCAAGCACAATGAGTATTATACTTGATTTGAATTAGGGTTGACATGATAATGATAACGGTTGTTGATGATTGAAGGAAGAGATTGTACATAAATCGGTTAGCTGGCTTCGTGTGGGCTATTATAAGATAAGACCGAATGGAGTTAGGAGCTAGTGCTAAATCTTGAGCTGTCTACATCTGGTTAAAGCTAGGTGAGGGAGTCGGGGAGTTTGTTCTTAGCGCTGAGGCTGTTTACGTGGTAATAATAATGAAAAAGATATATGGCGCTAGGACAGGCTAGGCTTAAGACAGACTATGGGCTAAGACTAAAGCTAGGAAGCTAGGGATAGAACAGAATATAGGCAGAGCCTGAAGCTAGGGCTAAAGCTAAGCCTAAGCCTAAGCCTAAGCCTAAGCCTAAGCCTAAGCCTAAGCCTAAGCCTAAGCCTAAGCTTAAGCCTAAGCCTAAGACTAAGCATAAGCCTAAGCTTAAGTGGCTAAGGCTAAGACTTAGGGCTAAGGCTAATACTAAAGCTTAGGCTTACTATTAACTCATATCTCTAACCTCCAACCTCATATCTAAACCCTTGAACTGAAGACTTCTTTATGATACATGTCGGTGGTCGGCTAGCCATCCGAAAGCCGAAAAGTCTCTGTTTCGGCGACCGCCATAAACCCTGCGGCGCACCCATGGCGGTGGTATCTCTTCGCCATCGTCTGCTGACCCGCTTTTTTTGATATATCGAATCCGAGGTTGCGGTGTGTGCTTGGGGGGATATATCAAAGTCGAGGATGCGGTGGGGGATGAAAGTAAAAGTTATGTCGCCGCATTGATATTATACTGCCGTAGTGGGAACGATGCTTTGAATGTCGTAGGGGGGGGGGATGATTCTTTTACTGCCGTTGTGGTAAGGAACCTTCGACTGCACTAAGGGGTCGATTTTACACTTGCCGTTGAAGAATGATCCTACCCATGCCGTAGAGCAACCTTTCTACTGCCGCAAAGGTACTCATCCTCCCACTGCCGTATGGGTAAGAACCCTTCCACTGCCGCTAGGCTAACAATCCTTGCACCGCCTTTGGGGAACAACCCATCCACCGCTGCAGGGGCAACGAATCGGGAGCGGCGCGAAAGCCGATTGATTTTTTGGGCGACGGCAAAAAGTGAAAGTGCAGGCGGAGAGGCGATTTTTTTTTCTCCACCACCCGAAGCCCCCCATCGGCTACTGCCGGATCCCGTAACCCGAAAATTCCTGCAAATTTCACTTTCGCTTAAATTTTGACGGGTGGAGTCGTGCGGAAACCGGCTTCCACCGCCACCGTCAGCGCAGCTTCGCCGCCTCCCCGTTTGGCCTCAACGGCCTGATTCTGCATGTGGCCGGAAAGGTACGGTAACTTTTTTTGGGTAGGGGGTGGGGAGGGTATACTTTGCTGTGTGGTTTTGGGGGTACGGTAGGGTTTGTATGTGGGTTGATTATAAATATTTGGTGAGGTTTGTACGTGGTATTGAGGATATAGCGTCGTTTCTATGTGGCTTGTATTATGAATACGGTACATGTGTTTGTGTTGAGGCTGGGGAGATGGTGAGGTTTCTATGTGACTTTTACGAATAGGGTAGGACTTGTATGTGGCTGGTATTGGCGATGGGATGAGGTTTCTATGTTGTTAGTATTGAAGATGTTGTAGCGTTGTCTGGATGATTATTAAGGGTATGGTGGAAGGGTTTTCGAATGGGTAGGACAGGCTTTGCAGTGAGTAGGGCAAGCCACGGTCTGTATATGGCAGGCTGTGGGTTGGCTAAGGCAAACTACAGGCTCAGTAGGGCAAGTTATGGGTGAGGAAGGGCAAGCTATGGGTTGGGTATGGCACGTCATGGACTGAGTAAGACAGGCTACAGGCTACGGACTGGTTAGGGCGTGCTATGGGCAGGGTAGAGCAGGCTATAAGCATACTACGGACTAGGGCTAAGGAAATGAAAAAGCCTAGAACTAAAGCTAAGGCTAACGATGGGCAGGATGAATACTGTAATTGTTTTGATGATTATTGTGTGTACTGTAGAGTTTTCTAAATGAGTCTTAAGCGAAGCCTAAACTAAGCCTAAAGCTAATCCTAAGCCTAAAGCTAAGCCTAAGCCTAAGCCTAAGGCTATTAGAGTTGAAGCTGTGCTAAGGCTAAAATTAAAAAAAAACAAAAAAAATTTAAAATTAAAAAAAAACTAAAAATTTTAAATTTATTACCACCTCCTTTCCAGGACATAAATAAGATGCAGCCGACGACCATGGAGAACTATCCGTACTATAATCAGAACATGGTCTACGACTACATGAATACCCGTTTAATCAACCAGAACCCACAGTTGTATCCCTTCACGAACGCCTCCACCGCCAACATTCTACAAAATGACTGGTCTCAGGTGGACAACTACCGCTTCCAACCACAACAGATTCAACAGAGGACGCCCAGCTCCAGCACGATTCAGTATCAGCACTCGCATAGCGTGAGTTTTGGGGTTATGATATATAGGGTTATAATCGGTTTAATATAAAATAAATCTTAAGCTTAAAATTATTTTTTAGGCTTAAAAATGATTTTTAGAGTTAAAATCAAATTTTAGGCTTAAGAGTATAATTTTAAGTTTAGAAATATATTTCAGGCTTAAAAATGAAATTTTAGGCTTAAAATGAAAATTTAAGCTTAACAATTAATTTTAGGCTTAAAAATAGGTTTTTAGGCTTAAAAATAAATCTTAGGTTTAGAAATGGTGCTTTAGGCTTAGAAATGAAATTTTGGTCTTAAAAAATAATCTTAGCCTTAAAAGTGAAGTTTAGGCTTAGAAATTCAATTGTAAATTTAAGTATTGAGTTCTAGGCTTAAAAATGAAAATTTAGGCTTAAAATGAATTTTTAGGCTTAAAAAAGAACTTTAGGCTTAAATATGAAGTTTAGGCTTAAATATGAATTACAGGTTAAGAATTGAGTTTTAGGCTTAAAAATGAAAATTTAGGCTTAAAAGTGGATTTTAGGCTTAGAAACAGAATCTTTGGCTTAAAAGTAAAGAATCAAGCTTAAAATGAAAATTTAGGCTTAACATGCGTTTTTTCCAGGAAAACGGCCAAACCCACGCCGACCAGCGGATATACAAAATGGGTGGTGCCGAGCTCTTATCACCGGTCGACTCGGGGATAGGCACAGAAATCAGTGTAATCGACGGAAATGTCATCAAATCCGAATACTTTTCCGTAGTCCAGCCCACGCCCGTCGGCCAATCCCAAGGAACGCCTGTTAGTGTGGACCTAAGCTCCGGGCCGCTGTCTATGGAACGACGAGACACGGCAAATTCACATCGAGAAAACTCACCCGTTGTTATACCTAAATTGTAAGTTGAGAAGGGAGATTTGGTTTATTTATTGAAAATTTTTAGCTTTAGGAGTAGATTTAGGCTTAACAATGACTTTTAGGTTTAGAAAGGGATTTTAAGGCTTAAAACTAATTTTTAAGTTTAAAAGGAAGATTCAGGCTTAAAAGTGAAAATTTAGGTTTACAAATTAATATTTAGGGTTTAAATGGGGTTTTAAGTATAAAAACAAATTTTAGGCTTAAAAATAAATTTTTAGGCTTAGAAATTATATGTTATGCTCAAGGATCAATTTTTAAGCTTAAGAATGAAATTTTAAACTTAAACATGAAATTTTAGGCTTAAAAATGGATATTTAGGCTTAAAACGGAATTTTAGACTTAAAAATGAAATGTTAGGCTTAAAATGAATTTTTAGGCTTAAGGTGGAAAAATTCACATTTAGGCTTAAGCAATGTTGGTTAGGCTTAAAAAAGAGAATTTCGTTTTTTTTGTCACTTTTTTTTTTTCAAAAATCATTGCACTTTTAACTTTTTTTAAAAACTTTTTATTACGTCAAGTAAGTAAACAGACAGCCTTTTGAGTAATTTACTTCCATATTCTTTTTGCTGTGAGAAAAGACATAATTAGTTGTTAAAAATTACAGTTACTAATGACTTGTTAGGTAAATAATGGGTTGCACTTTAACGGTTTAAAGTTTGATCTGATAAAAAGAAAAAGGAAAAGATAGAAGAAAATAAAGATAAAAAGGAAGGTTTGAAAATGAAAAAAGTTAAGCATTGAGACTTTAGGTATTAAAAATGCAATTTTAAATAATAATTTAAAGTTTTTGAAACTTCAAATTTTTTTAAATTAAAAAAAATGTTTTTAGAATTAAAAAAAATTACTTTATCAATACAATATACGCTTAAAATTGCCTAATTTTTAAGTTTCTTTTAGTTTTTAAATTTTGTTTTTGATTTTTAAGAAAAGCTCCACAGGCGCAGGCCCTGTTCACATTTTTGTTCGGTAAAAAACATTTTTTTTCGTGGTGACAAAATTTTTTAAAGGATAAAAATTGTGCTTAAAAGCAGCCATGTTTCTAACTTTTTTTACGTTTTTGAATTTTGAAAAAAATTTTTTTTGTAATTTTTGGGAAAAAAATTCACATGGGGACCCTGTTCACATTCTTATCAATTTTATTAAAAAAATTGCAAAAAATTTTTTACGTATAGAAATTGTGCTTACAAATAGTCTCTGCTTTTGACTTTTTTCAATTTTTTAAATTTAGAAAATTTTTTTTAATTTTTGAAAAAAAAATCCGCAGGTGGGATTCACCTTTAATCTCCGAAAGCTCTTTTTATAATCTTTTTATGATCAAAAAGACCTTTCTTTATAATCTTTCACTTTTACTTTCACATTTACTTTCATTTTATCTCGACATCAAGCACATTTTGTCATTTCGCGACGCCAAAGGAAAGTTAATTGCGCCCATTAATCGCTGTGAGCCGGAACTCGAAGCGACGCGGAATCTGATTCCTTTAACAAAACGAATAATATTTCATTTCAAAACAATGAGCATTGGTGGGCTGGGGCGCCATAATGGCTTTTTGTCATGACCTAGTTTTGGGAGTTTGAACGAAATTTTCGAAATTTTGAGGAACATTTTGGAAAAAATGTGGAAAATGACATTTTAAAACAGATATAGTTTGAAAAAAAGTCTTTAAAAACTATAGAAAACTATTTAAAATATCATGCTTAGTCTAAAAATCCAAAAATTCGAAAAAACTGATCTGCAGCCTGCCAAATCAAATTTGGCGCCAAAAACTAAAATTCAAATAAAAATACAAAGAAATACAATAAAAAATTTCAGACACAACCAACTAGGATTTCAATATGTCCTAGAAACGGCGATATCAACCTCAATTCGCAAGGAAGATGACCGTATGACCTACGTTAACAAATCACAGTACTACACAGTAACCCTAGAGTACATCCCTGATCCAAATCGACCGCTAAAAAGCAATACTGTTAGGGTATGTTTAGAAAATTGTTTTTTTAACTTGTTTTACAAATTTTTACGTTTTAGGCCACAATTTGAGGGAAATTAGGATTACGGTGGTTTTCGTTGTGAGACCCAAAAAAATTATTTTGTTGTCATTAGAATAGAAAGCCATTATAAATAACAAAAACCGCATTTTAGAGTCAAATAATGGTTGTATTCCGAGAGAACAAGCCTCGCGAAGAAGAAATCAAGACCTGGCAGCTATGGCACAAACGACAACATTCGGGAAAACAGCGTATTTTAGAAGTGAACCAAAAAGAATGTTCCGGAATCTTGGGCCCAATCGAAGAGATTGCTCATAACGCGATACAGTTTTGCTGGGATCCTACTAACAACTCGCCTCAGGTAATATTTTTATTATTTGAAATTTTTAATATTTTTAAAAAAATTCAAAAAAATTTTTTTTGGTTAGAAGGTAATCTTGGTTCGTATTTTACATATTTTTCGGCTAGAAGGTAATTCCAAACCCTATTTTAGATCAGCATTGCATTCCAATGCCTATCGACCGATTTTTCGGCCCAAAAAGGAGTCAAAGGCCTACCTTTACATGTACAAATCGACACATACGACGAAGACTCCAAAGTGCCTTTCCATCGTGGTTATTGCCAAATCAAGGTGTTTTGTGATAAGGTAAGTGATAAATTTTTATTGGGTTTTAACTTTTGAAATTTAAAAAGTTTAGTTTAAGAACTTTGCAAATTTAAAAATTTTTATTTGGGTTGAAATTTAAAACAAATGCGATGTTTTTTTAATTTTCAGCTATTTTAAGGTTTTTTGGGTACAAAAGTGACATTTTTTATGGTTTATGTTAGAAAAACGTTAAATTTTACGCATTTTTTACGTTTTTAAGACATAACGTGAAATTTATGGAAAAGGTGTGAAATTTTATGCATTCTTCACGTTATCTTAGACATGAGAGGGCCGGGCCTGAATGTTAGGCCCGGCCCGATCGGAATTTTGCTCAAGGCCGGCCCGGCCCGTTTCTCATGTCTACGTTACCTCTAGAAAACGTGAAATTTATGGAAGAAACGTGAAATTTTATGCATTTCTAAACTTTTTCGATTTAAAACTTCATTATTATTGAAAAAACGCAACAGAAATCATATTTTACATAAAACTTATCGTCTTTTTTACAATTTCAAAAACACATTCGACCAGTAATTGTTTTCTCTTGTATAGGGCGCTGAGCGAAAGTTTCGAGACGAGGAAAAACGGCAACAGCGCCGAAAAGCTGGAGGTAAATCTCTTCAAAGATTTTGCTCAATCAAACGCTTCTATCGCTTGTAATTTTGTAGTTTTTACTTTTTTTTGAAACTTGGGGCGGATTTTAAGGATTTTTGTAATTTTGGGTGATTTTTTAAAATTTTTTTGAAATTTTAGGTAACAAAATTTTTTTTTCGGAAAAAATTAAAATGGGTTAAAAAATAAAGTTCAGTTCCAATTCGGGTTCGTATTTTACACTTTAGGCTTTTTCATTTTTAGCTTTTTATTTCAAAAAAGCGAAAAATTTTCCTAAAATTGGCCTAAAATGCCATTTTTAAGCCTTTAAAACATTAAAATTTAAAATTTTTAATCTCCATGCTATTTCACATTAAATGTAAAAGACATTTTCAAAAAAATCATTTTAACTTTTCAAAAAACTACGAAATTACAAGCAAAAATCCGCTTTCAACGCTGCTAACATTTATGTTGTCCGTCCGCCAAAATCGTCTAAAATCATATACCTAAACCAATCTAAAATTTCCAAAATTCAAACACAAGGTAGACCATATCTTAGGCTATGTCAAAACCATAAATTGGGGGATTTGGGATTTCGGCCAAAGAATGACACAACATTTTAGGGTGCGAACCGAAAAATGTTGCACGAAACGAGACGGGATGAAAAAAGAAAAGGTATTTTACGACTTTCCCCCTTTTTGCACCCACTCCTTTATTCTATCCTTGTTGTGGTACTGTTCCGGAGCTTGTACTAAATTTGATTTTGAGTTGATTTTGCCACTTTAAAATGGGTTACGGTGGTTTTATTTGAGGAAAAATGGGGTTTTGGGCACTTTTATGTTGATTTTTGGCGTTTGTTTTAGATTTTTCAATTTTTATATATGTTACAGTGTACGTAGCGGGCTGAAATTGTGTGAACTGATAAACAATAGACTTATGATGATGCAGTAAAAAGGTTTTTTAAATTTTGTGACATTTAGAAGAGTTGTGACTATTTTTCTCAATTTTTTCAAAATTTTTTGATTTTTGAACTATTGTTTCAATTTTATTTTTTTAGTCATGTTACAGTATACTTAGCAAGCTGAAGTTTTGTGAAGTGATAAAGAATAGACCTAGGATGATACAATAAAACGGCTTTTTAAATTTGATGAAATTTAAAAAAGTTATGACAATTTTTCTCGATTTTTTTCGGAATTTTTTGATTTTTGAGGTCTAGCTCTAATTTTATTTTTTTAGTCATGTTACAGTATACATAGCAAGCTGAAATTTTGTGAAATTGTAGATGATAGACATATAATAACGCTGTAAAAAGGGTTTTTTAATTTGATGGCATTTAAAAAAGTTATTACTATTTTTTCGACCGGCACCATAGAATAACCTAAAATAAGATTTGATGAGCTATTGTAGGAAAAAGGTTTAAAATTGATTTATAACAACTGAAGTTAGCCAAACTATTTTAAAAATCTAAAACTACAGTATCTGTTCCTTCTATAACCCCTATAATCACACCCATTTCACTTCTCTTCCCTCGCTTTTCCGCTTATATTAACATTGCTCCTCCACTAATCGCCACTAACACTCACAGATCCGCCGACAGTTTCTAATCGTTCTGTTTTCGATTTTCAAGGAGGCGGCCGCAAAAAGTCCGATGGGGAATATCATGAGCCATGCGAGCGGTCCGAGTTCTACCACATGAGTGATCTGGAGAAGCAGGCGGTGTTGTTCGTGCCTTCGGATGACTTCGACTCACGATTCTTGGACCCCACCGACTTTGACTGCTTGGACATTGTGGAGCCGGTGGTGAAGCGGCCCAGGATCAACACGAATCCGGAACGGCGTAGGTTTAAATTAAAAAATGTTTAAAAGTTTAAATTTAAAAATACTTTAAATTTAGAAATTTCGAAAAGTTTAAGCTTATTTTGGACTCTTAGGAATTTATAGAGATTAAGATTGATTTTAGGCTTATTAAGTGTTTTGATGATTCAATAATGCTTAATAGTGATTTTAAGCTTAAAAATGAAACTTTGGGTTAAACATGAATTTTAGGCTTAAGAGTGACATGTTAGGCTTAAAAATCAATTTTAGGCTTAAAATTGAACTTTAGGCTTAAAATTTGTTTTAGGCTTATAAAATTAAATTTTAGGCTTAAGAATTGAAATGTTAGGCTAGAAATTAGTTTTTAGGCTTGAAAGTGGATTTTTAGGCTTATAATTACGTTTTAGGCTTCAAAATAGAATTTTAGGTTTAAAGATAAAAATTTGAGTTTAAAATGAAATTTTAGGCTTAAGGTATTATTTTTTTTAGTTTTTTTGTTACCTAAAACTTAATATTTAAAAAAAAGTTGTTGGTCTTTAATAAAAGGGCACTTTCAACGATTTTTTCGATTTTATAATTGTTTTACACCATTTTCGAACCTAAATTCATACCTAAAACATTACTTTTGAGTACCAATTTCATACCTAAAAGCCCATATTACAGACCAACCACAACCAGCCATTCTGACTGAACCCTCGCGTTTTTCAGTGATGATCTACGTCAAGAAGCGTGAAGAGGACGTGTTCACCGCCCTGCATCTGGTACCGCCCAACCTGTGCGGCCTCTACAACGCCCTGTACCAGAAGTACAACCTGGACCAGAACAAGATCAGCCGAGTGCTGAAGAAGAATGTCAATGGGGATACGGTGAAGATGGACGATGACATGATCGCCGTCTACAGTAACGAGAATACGTTCATTTTGGAGGTGGAACCGGTGGCCGAAGATCCTTCGTACTATACTGTAACTTTGGTGGAGCTGAGGGTTGGCAATGACATGGGCTGTCGTACGCCGCTGACTCAACAGTGGACTCCACAGCATTGAGTAGTGTATACCATAGATCATTGACTACAGTATAATTTACATCATTGACTACAGTATACTTTACATGATTGACTACAGTATACTTTGGATCATTGACTACAGTATACTTTGGATCATTGACTACAGTATACTTTGGATCATTGACTACAGTATACTCTACAACGTTTACAGTATACACCCCAACATTGACTACATTATACTCACCAACATTGACTACAGTATACTTTTACAACAGTGACTATGACATGATTTACTGATGTTACCCTGCCTTGGCAGACCGTACTGTACCCTACCCTACTCTACCCCCACATATCATGCCTTGCCCTACCCCACTCTAGCTACAGTTACTCAATCTCAAAACTCCTTGAATTTGGATGCACGGTGCAGTTTTATTTCACAAAGGGACTGCACGGTGCAACGAAATAATAAAATTTGATTGCACGGTGCAACAAAAATAAAATCAGATTTTTTTTAAATTTTGAAAAAACGAAAGTTTTTAAAACGTGTTACATAGTATTTGGCATAATCTAAAAATTATGCTAATTTTAAAAAAATCGAAAAAATAGCTTGCACCGTGCAGTTTTTAAAAATTAAAAAAATTTTGCACGGTGCAAAATATAAAGTTACGTTCATTGCACTATGCAGACAATTTTAGAAGTTTTGAGATGATTGAGTATTATAAATCGTGTCATTTTACATTGTTTTAAACAAAACAGTTGTTGAAATTTAAACATTTTGATTTTAAAAAAATTCTTTGAAATTTTTGAAATTTTAAAAAATTTTTTAAAATCATTTTTTTTCGGTTTCTAACGACTGTAAAACCTATTTATAAACCTTAAACTTGGTCTAGTTACTTGTTTTCTTAACTTATACTGCCTCTTTTGCTCTCGTCAACTGCCAGTTATATGAAAATTGAAAAACCAACGAATCCATTAAAAGTGCATTTTAATTACTGCGATTTTAGCTTCTATGGCATTTTATTTGTATTTTATTTCATTGTGACATATCTTGTTGTTTTAGTTTTGGCATTTTGGCATTTTTAAAATTTTTTGAAATTTTTGGAATTTTTTGAAATTTTTTAATTTTTTTTTTTTAAAACTAAATTTTTTTTTAAAAATAAGACGTTTAAGCCTTAAGTCATATTTAAAACCAAAAAAAATTTAAACTTTTAATTTTAAAAATTTTAAAAAATTTAAAAAATGCCATACCCTGTCATATACCCTCGCCCATTAGATATTATTAACAAACCTTGTGTGCATAGTTATCGGCCCGGCTTGCCAGTCCAGTTTTTTCGTTTGTACTGTAACTTTTATACTGTACTTTTACATTATGTGACATTTTATATTGTACCTTGGTGCGAACTTCACTTATTGTACTTTTATGTTGTTCTACAGTACTTTTAGATTGTTCTACAGTATCTTTAGATGGTCCTAGAGTACTATTTTTTCTTTTACAGTATGTTTCTTTGTCTCTTCTTTGGGTTACGGTAGCTGCAGTAGGCCAGTCTTGGTTGAATTACGGTAGAATGGTTACAGTAGTTAATAGATGCTTTTAGTTTGAAAAAATAGTTAATTAAGTCGTTTATAGCATCTAGAATAACATACCGTACCTTTACTACCGTAATCCATCCTACTATGAATGCTACAGTAATTCCCTCTACCCTATCCTACTTCCTAACTTACAGTACTCTCCAATATTGTTGTATAAAGTTTGAAACCCGAAAACCCCCGTTACAATGCCCTCCGAAAACCGGTACCAAAAGGACAAAACACATACATATATACCCCGCCCGACCAGCCCCGAACATATTATTCTTCTCTTTCACCTCATAAACAATATTATTCATAATCGTATTATTGTGATTTATTTGTCAATAAGCTATATAAACTGTTCAAACATTGATTCGGCGACATTTTGATGACATACCCTACCCTACCCTACCCTACCCTACCCTACCCTACCCTACCCTACCCTACTCTAGTTTACCCCCACCTTACCATACTTTAAGCTGCTTTGTCTTGCCTTGTCCTGACTGGCCTTTCCTTGATCTGCCCTGCTTTGATCCGCCCTACTCCGGCCTACCATGCCATGATCTGTCCTGGCATGGTAGGCCTACTGTAATCGGCTGTACTCTGTCTTACCCTGGTGTACCATTCCATGACCTGCCATGAATTACCCTACCGTACTCTGATTTGACATCTACTTTTGTCTTACCCTACCCTATATTGCTCGACTCTACCCCACCATAACTTCTTTTTTTCTACCCTAGCTTTCCTCTCCCTTTTGCCTTTCCGTGCCCTGCCGTACTCAGCTTTGCCTCATCTTTCTTTACTGTACCCAAGTTATATGATACCTCAAGTTAAACACAAACGTTAATCCCCCCCCCTCTCTTTTCTATCCCTCCTTCACAAACTTGATTTCCATCAAGGCCTTAATTTATTGATCTATATTATTTACTATATCGTAAAAAATCATCTTCACCATGATATTTTACTGTTTGTAAGAACAGTTATAATAATCTTTTGCGCAGTTCTTCCTATTCATTTAGCGTTCTGTCACGAATTCATGCGGTAGTTCCGAAGAAATAATTATAATTCGCCTTTACTCAACTCTGATTCATTGATTGCGTGGGTTAAACGAACTATTTAGGCTTAGGTTTGGGGGGAGGAGGTATAAAAAGAGAAATTTTTTTGAAATTTAAAAAGCTTTTTGTTTTTAAAGAGTATTGACCACACTCTAACATTATGCTTATTACTAGTTCTAGCTTTTGACCTGGTATTAAATATAGCTCTAGCCCTTGCTCTAACCCGTAGCTCGAGCCGTAGACCTAGCCTGAGTCCTCACTCTAGATCTAGCATTGTAAACTAAGCAGAAGAGCTAGCTACAGCTCTAGGCATAGCCCTGGCCCTAGCTCTAGCTCTAGTTCTAGCTCTAGCTCTAGCTCTAGCTCTAGCTCTAGCTCTAGCTCTAGCTCTAGCTCTAGCTCTAGCTCTAGCTCTAGCACTAGCTCTAGCTCTAGCACTAGCTCTAGCGCTAGCTCTAGCTCTAGCTCTAGCTCTAGCTCTAGCTCTAGCTCTAGCTCTAGCTCTAGCACTAGCTCTAGCTCTAGCACTAGCTCTAGCGCTAGCTCTAGCTCTAGCTCTAGCTCTAGCTCTAGCTCTAGCTCTAGCTCTAGCTCTAGCTCTAGCTCTAGCTCTAGCTCTAGCTCTAGCTCTAGCTCTAGCTCTAGCACTAGCTCTAGCTCTAGCACTAGCTCTAGCGCTAGCTCTAGCTCTAGCTCTAGCTCTAGCTCTAGCTCTAGCTCTAGCACTAGCTCTAGCACTAGCTCTAGCTCTAGCTCTATAAATAGCCCTAGCTTCAATCCAAAACTTAACCCTAGAAATAGCTTTAGTCCCACCCCCTTGTTTAAACCCTAGCTTAAACCCTAGAACTACAGTTGGTCTTAGCTTTAGCTCTAGCCCTACCCATTAACACTAGCTTTAGTCCTAAGGCTAGCCATAGCCGTAAAAGCCCCTAATTCTAGCCGTAGCTTTAACCCTAGCCCCACTAATAACTTCAAAAAAAATTTTTAATTTTACGTTTGATTTAGTAACCTCTAGTGACAGTAAAGATACATGTATTTTGTTTACGTTCTTTTCAGATACGGAAATCGCAAAGGTCAATTGATTCGGTAAAGAAAGCGAAGTGATTTCGATTCATTTTTATTGTTACGGAAGCCGATCTCTATCGATTTGCAAGGAATTATGAGTAAGTTTTCTTTCTTTTTTTAATATCTTTTTAAAAATTGCAAGCACTTTCTTTACAAGATATACATTAGCAAGAACTTTCTTTACAAATCAAAAAATATCAAGAACTTTCTTTACAAGGCATAGATTCGCAAGAACTTTCTTTACAAAACAAAAAATGGCAAGATCTTTCTTTACAAAACAAAAAATAGCAACAGCTATCTTTACAAAACAAAAAATGGCAAGAACTTTCTTTACAGAACATCAAACTAGTATCCATCGTATAACATGTCCCCCGCAGCCTGCAGAACCTTAAATTTTAATTTTATGGCTGAGGAACGGCAAGAACTTTCTTTAGAAAGCATGAAATGGCAAGAACTTTCTTTACAGAACAAAAAATGGCAAGAACTTTCTTTACAAAACAAAACACGCAAGAACTTTCTTTACAAAGCAAAAAACGCAAGAACTTTCTTTACAAATAAAATTTTATCAAAAATGCCATTTTTCATAACCAAAAATCAAATTTATTACTAATTCTTTGCCATTTTACTTGTTTCTTCGACACTATGAATAATTGTAAACACATTTCACAACAAGTATAGGCTTTGCAAGAGAATTGTGTTTGTTTCTATGAATCATTTCGAAAAGATCCTTTTCGTGGCTTTTAAAAGTTTTTTTTCACTATTTATTCAGCCGTTTTCTGGTTATAAAACATTTATTTCGACGAGAGATGGTGTAGATTTTTGATATTTTAGTTGAGAAGACCATTTTTCATATTACCCTTTATTATTTTTGTCATTTTTGAGCTAAACTTGCTAAAAAATGGCTAAAAATCAGTAAAAATGAGGACTTTTAGCGCGCGTCCAAAAGAATTGAACTATTTTTAATGTAGTTACATAGGAAAAAAAGACCAATTCTTTTTGACGCGCTGGGAATATTAACGTAAGGACAAGTGTGATTTTTATATGGCTATGGGTAGGCATGGGATGTGACTTTCTATGGCTATGGGTAGGCATGGGGTGGTGTTAGTTCAGGCCAAAGACACTATTAGTTTAGCTAGGCTAGCACGAAGGTCAGGGTCAATCTGAAGCTTGGTTTTGATGAAGTAGGGCTTTCTTAGGCTTATCATAGTAAGGGTAGACAGATCAGGACAAGACAGATCAGAGTAAGGAACGGTAAGGCAGGGGAATGATAAAATTATGGCAGGGCAGATTAAATAAGAGCAGGGTAGGGTGGTTTGGGTAGGGTACGGTAAAGTTGATGGGTAGGGTAGGGTAGGGTAGGGTAGGGCCATATTTATTTTTTTTCTGTTTTTACTTTTTCCCTTATCAGTGCACGCAAAATGTTGTTTTTGAACGTTTTGTGCTATAAACCTGTTATTTATGGAAAATTCCAATCAAAAACGTTCTTTTAAGGAAGCTACTAAAGTACTTGTTTTTAACAACATAAAATACTGATAACATGCAACTTTTTATTTATTCACAAATTTTGGCGTTTGCTAAACTTTGGAATGATGAAATGCTGAGCGGAATCGAACTTTTTTTGATTTCTGACATTTTCAAATTGATGCAACTTTTTTGTAAGTTGCGATAGGGGTCTAAAACTTTTGGTATGTCTACAACCGTTTGTGTTTTTTAATGTTCTGTATTTTGGATTTTGATGTTTTACAAAAAATTTTTGAAAATTTTGAAAAAAACTCACAGGGGGGGGAACCAAACTGAATTTTTCAAAAAAATTTTTTTTAGTTTTTTTTATTTGACAAGTTTAAATAGGTCTGTTTGTTATAAAAATCAAGTTTTAATATTACTTTTCAATTATTAAAATCCAACTTTTTAAAAATAAAAAATTTTTTGTTTCAAAAAGTTTCACAGGGGGGGGACCAAGCTAAATTTTTTGAAAATTTTTTCAAAATTTTAAAATTTATTTTTTAAAAATAATATTTTTAGATGTTTTCTACCCCAAATGGGGAATTCCCCTCCACAAACTCGTGTTGTTTTCATAAAACACTCAAAAGCAGTGATAAGACATGGCTTTTAAAGACCGTCGCTGACTAAACAAATTTCGCTTGAGAAACAGTTTATTTCGATGAAATTTCCCGAAATTTTTTGAAAACCTGCCAAATTTGAATAATTTTGTTTGTGTTTTTCAGAAATCGTGCTCATTTTCAACATCTTGACTATCAGCTGTCTCGCCGCTCCTGTCAACATTACGGAAGGTAGGTGGGGTATATAAAGGATGACATTTAAAGGAAGGGGAGGTTTGTAGTTGTTAGTTAAGATTAGATTGGAAGAATGCTGATCACTAGAGGTAAATTTACATTGTCTTTTATATTTTTAGTTTAAAAAAGATTGTCAGTGGCAGTAACTTTTAGAAAATTTGAGTTAAAGTTGTAGGTATAGGCAAAAACTAGGTTTTTGCCATTCTTTTTTGTATATCTTTTTGGAAAACATACCTAAAAAGCTAAAAGTTGGTGTCATTATAGTTAGTTCATTTTGTCAACGAACTGCATTTAGAAGATTGATAAATTTACAGTAGCCTAAAAGCTACAGTAACTTACTCGAAAATCATATTTTTTCCAAAAATCAAAAAAAAATTTAAGTCGATAAAGAATTTCAAAAACAATACTAAATTGTATGAAATAGTAAAGTTTCATGTTGATATGCAAAGTTATGGCAAAGTTACATTCAATTGAAAATGACAAAAATCCAAAAAAGTTCGATTCCGCTTGGAAACGGGCTAGGTTTTTCGCATTTTTTGGATGTTTTGACTGATTTTTTTTGACAAACCTTGATGGTATAGATTTAAAAATGTCATTAAAATGGAAAAAAGGTTGAATTTTGATTTCAATTTTGTTTAAAATTTCAAAAATTGAATAAATTGAGCTCTTTTGGTTTTACGACATGTTTAATTCAATCTAACTCTGTTATGAATCGAGTACCCTGTCCTATTTACCTTACCTTTTTATACCTTATCTTACCATACTTTACCTTATCCTACCTTATTTGGTTAATCTTTGACATTTTTCGATAAAATACAAAACTCAAGTGTTCGTTTGGTTTTGTTTTCTAATTTTGGACGCAAATATTTGCTCTTTATCAGTCACATCCTTCCAGAACGTCAGTTTTTGGGCATAAAGGGCTGTTTTTAAACTGACAATTTTGATTTTTTAATGTTTTCTTGATAGGCAGAACTTAAAAATTGGTTATGAATAGCCCTTACCCTACCTTACCCTACCCTACCCTACCCTACCCTACCCTACCCTACCCTACCCTACCCTACCCTACCCTACCCTTCCCTACCCTACCTTACCCTACCTTACCCTACCCTACCCTACCCTACTCTACCCTACCCTTACTTCTACCCCTACTCCTAATTTCTACCTCTCCCCCTTTTTTCTACCCTTACAATTACCCCTTCATTTTTAGACACTACGATGCCGTTTAACACTCGCCACCCAGGCCTCATCCTAGGCCCTGGCCCTCAAACTGGCAGTGGTACTTCAGCGGGCGGATATTATTTCTTTGAAAACTTTTTGAAAGGTACCTACTATATTAGGAAAGGAGATGTGTTTACTGAGGACGACGAAAAGAACGAGCCAAAGAGTTTGGACCCCAAGACTTATGAAGGACCAGCGGTGTTCTATGCTTATCACGATAAGGATGACAAAAAGGTAAGACTCTACCCTGCTCAACCGTCCGCGGCTAAATTTTTTTAATTTGATGGTAGTTAACTAGATTATTTTGTTGAGTTTTACGTTCGTAACTCAATTTTAAGCCTAAGAATTAATTTTAAGCCTAAAAATCAATTTTAAGTCTTAAAAATAAATTTTAAGCTTAAAAAGCCTAATTTGATGGTAGTTAACTAGGTTATTTTGTTGAGTTTTACGTTCGTATCTCAGTTTTAAGCCTAAGAATTAATTTTAAGCCTAAAAGTTAAATTGAAGCTTAAAAAATAAATTTTAAGCCTAAGAACTAATTTTAAGCCTACGAACTACCTTAAGCCTAAAAACTGAAATTTAATTTTAAAAAAAGTCTAATTTAAGCCTAAAATTTGTTTAGGCTTGCAAAAAGTCTAAAAATGTTTAAAAGATTTGCTAAAACAAAACATTTTTTTCAGATCCACATGGTCGATTACCTGAAAAAGACGGTCGAAGTAATCGAACCCGAACACAACACTCGAGGCTTCATTTTCGCCGCCGTTGAACCATATGTACCATTCAAAGTGGGAGAGCTGAGAGCCAAAGAAGAAGCCGAAAGAAAAGCCAAACAAAGCCCAAAAGAATAAGCGTTATATCAGATAATAACGTAAAGATACCATATTGTATATGAATAATACTGTTTAAATAAAACATTGTAAATATTGATATTAAACTTATAAGGAAAAAACGTCTAAAGTATAATATATAAAGCTATTTATACAAGTTCAGATTATATAGGGACGGGACTGCAAGTGGCATCAACGTTGACTTAGCAACGGTTACTCTTGGTGTACCACCTTGCACTCCAGCTGCTTCTCTTCTTTGTGCTTCATCTTGTGTTTCTCTAATTTCTCCACCTGGTGAACGACCACGTTTTCCTCCTTGGTCGCGAGCTGGCACTTCAGCTCGTGCTTTACCTTGCTCACTTTCTTGTGCATCACTTGAGTTCAGACAATAATATCCAATTCGACAATATAATATATAATATTTATTATCAACACAAGGTATTACGTCAAATAACAATCGAAGAGCGGATGATAGTGACCGACTGGTCCGGAGACGTGCTTTCCCATTGACTGGTTGCCACGCGTGCGTTCGGTTTGACGGTGAAAGCTTCGACCAATTTGCATAAATGTTCTAATTATCACGTTTCTTGATCGCGGTCTAACTCGTGGAACTCCAGCTGCTTTTTTTCTTGTGTTCTATGTTGCTCTGGTCCAATTCCTTTATCTGGAGCACCACGTGGAGCTCCAGCTGTGTCTTTTTGCTGTGCACCATCTTGTGATGTCCTAAGACTTCATCTGCTGAGCGACCAGGTTCTGCTTCTTGGGCTCGAGCTGGTGCACCAACCGACCGTCGCTGGTTTCTCGGGCGGCGATGGTTTTGTGACTTAGGCACTTCGATCGGTCTATCTGGTCGGCTGGTTCTTGGCCGCATGATAATTTTAAAATGAGTTTCAAAAAATGTGTTTTTGCGTCGGTAGATGGTCTTTATGCAAAGTAAAAGTACAAAATTTTTTTTCTTTTAAAAAATTCGTATTAATCTTTTCCCAAGGCTCCGACATATAAGGTATAATGATTTATATCGAGTAAAACAAGAGATCCACAGGTCTCGTAAAACGCAAAAAAGTATCACAATGTTAGCTGGATATGTACAACAACAAAAAAAGAAAAAGGAATGTAAATAAATCCAAGAAAGACCCGTTTCATGCTATTACATGTGACTTAAAACAACACCGAGCCTAATACGGACATGACAAAGATATTCGAAAGTGATGATGACAAAGGATATTACAGCAACCGTGCTATAAAAAAGCTACAGTAAAACAAAAATTCGCTAAGAATGATCTTCAGCATACAGTACACTACATTATACTTATGATCTTCAGCATACAGTACACTACATTATACTAACAATAAGACTACAACACACCTAAAACTATATACAATCTAATTAATCTACAATTTATCAACAACTATTCTGGTCGATTACTGTTCCACCTTGTCCTTCTTCGACTTCCTCGACTCTCTCTTTCTCTGAGGCAGAATGCCAGTTCTGTCATCATGAATGGAATCATTGCTTTCTTCATCGCTTGATGACGAGAATGACGCCCGACGATTCTGATCCAATTTCTCCGATTTTCCGAGTTCAGCCACATCTATTTGAACCGGTACCACTTTGTTGGTACTCTTGGTCTTGGTCTGCAATCCGAGGGCCCATGGACGGGGCTCGGCTTCGGCTACAAAATTGAAGACGATCGTGGAGAAGATAATGAAGCTGCCAAAACATATCCACATAAAGGACCACTAAAATTTAAAAAATTTTAATAAGTTTTAAAAAATTTCAAAAAAAAAATTCAAAAAAAATATTTAAAATTACCCTACCTGAGCTGGAGTGTTATCAGGAGCCATTAAATTGACGATTGGAGGCAATATTAAAATACAGATCGAGCTGCTCAATGTTACTGTAGCCATAAGTACGTAGACAAATGGTCCAGATATCTGAAAATTATAACGATGAATATAAAAAGGTCATAATTGTTTTATTTTTTTAGAATTTTTGATTTTGTTACCTAAAGTTTTGAGACAAACTTAAAATTTTCAAATTTTTAAAATTTTAAAATTTCGAAAAAAACTTTTTGAATTTAAAATTGAATTTAAAATTCACTTTTGTTAGTTCTATACACTTTTAGACCGAAGAAAAATGTTTTTTAAACCCGGTTCAAAAAGAATTGATCAATTTTACTATATAAATGCACTGAAAAAAGTTCAATTCTTTTTGACGCAGCTAAGAAAAACCTTTATACCCTATCCTACGCTACCCTCTTAGCCTGCCCTACTCTACCCTCCTGCCCTGCCGCTACCCATGCCTTACTTTTACTTTTAAAAAACTCTCATAACCCTTACCAACTGAAGACTCTTGATGTTACCCATGGCATTAAGTCCACTGAACGTTACTGCCGTAGTAAACAATACTTGCGCCAGCCTTTGTGTGGTTTCGTCGACCAAACTCAATGCTATGAAAGCTCCAGACATGATGAAATGTGATATCGAAGTGAAGATGATAACTCTGCCTTTTGGTCCAAAGTAGGGCATTTTATCACTGATTGGTCCCGCCGCGATCTTAAAGAAGATCGCCAGTACGAAGGGTAGTGCTGTGGCTATGCCCGTGCTTTTCACATCAAATTTGATTACTGTATTCAAGAAGAAAGCTGAATATTGGTTCAAAATTTGGTACCCGAGGTTACCACCAAAGGTCGTGAACAGACAGCCTAGGACCGCTTTGTCCGTGAAAATCGCAAAAAATGGTACTGTTGGATGCTCCTTCTCCGTGACTTGTACTATCTTTCCCTTCTGTAGTACCACCTGCTCCATGGCACCAACACAACCATGTTTGGGTGGGGAGTCACGGTAGAAAATGGCAAAAATCGACACGAACAGTAGGGTCGCAGTTCCCAAAAAGTAGTAGACGGCAGGCCAGCCTAGAGGCGAGGAACATAGTTCACCAGCAATGGGCATGGTTAATACTGGGCCGATTTGGAGATGGCATGAGAGTATGGCAATGTAGGTGCCGGAACGTTTGGCTGTCGACCATTCGGTGGTAATCGAACCGGTCGAGGGCCAGAGGGCAGCAAGGGCTAGACCCTAAAATAAGAAACGTTAAAAAATTGTTATAAATCAAAGCCTATAACTCATTTTAAAGCCTAAAATACAGCCTTAGGTTTAAAGCTACATTTTTAAGCCCAAAACTCGTTTTTAAACCTAAAATTCCGTTTTTAGTTGAAAAGGTCATTTTTAAGCCGAAAAGTCATTTTTTAAGACAAAGCCATTTTTAATCCTCATATTCATGTTTAGGCCTAAAATTGATTTTTAAGCCTAAAAGTCTCTTTGTAAGACTAAATTTCATTTCTAAGCCTAAAAGTCATTTTTTAAGCCTAAAGTTCATTTTTAAGCCTAAAAGTCACTTTTTAAGCCTAAAATTCATTTTTAAGCCTAAAAGTCATCTTTTAAGCCTACATTTCAGTTTTTAAGCCTATAATTCAGTTTTAAGCCTGAAAGTCACCTTTTAAGCCCAAAATTCACTTTTAAACCTAACATTACGTTACTAACCTTGAAATCCTATTTTTAAGCCTAATTTTCGACTCTAAACACAAGCCTTAAACCATTACCTGCAAAAACCTCATAGCCAATACATATAAAAAGCCATGTTCAACAGCATACGGCAACGCCAACGTCGCGAATCCGGATACAAGGCCATATATGACAAAACTACATCGAATTCCGATCCGACCAGCCATTAAGAAGAACGGAACGGCGCCGCATATCGTTCCGACAGCGATTATCGAGAAGAGCCAATTCCTTTGGTAATCCGTGAAGATAAAGTCGGCTTGTTCTGAAATTGAAAATTATTTCAAATTTTTAAAAACATGCTAGCTCGACCTATTAATTAGCCTAGAGGTTGCTATTTCAGCCTAAAATGTCATTTTTTTAAAAACGAAAATGATTTTTAAGCCTAAATCTTTATTTATAAACTAAAAACCTCTGTTTAATTGCCAAGCCGTAAATTTTTTTCTAAGCCTAAGGCATGATTTTTAAGCTTAAAATTCAGTTCTTAGTCTCAAATTTCATTTCTAAGCCTAAAACTTCATTCTTAAGCGTAAACCTTAATTTTAAACATAAAATTTAGTTCTAAGCCTAAATTATGATTTTTAAGCTTAAAATTCAGTTCTAAGCCTAAAATTGTATATTTAAGCCTAATGGTTCAATTTAAATGCTAAAACAAACATTAAAGCCTAAGATTTGATTCAAAAGCCTAAACCTTAATTTTAAGCTTAAAGTTCAGTTCTAAGCCTAACTCTTTAATTATAAGCTTAAAATTTATTTTAGAGCCTAACAATCCAAACCTCAAATGTTTTTAAAAATATTGTTTTCTACCGTAAATCACGTAGTAAAGTGAAGGTGTATAGGTCAGAAATCGTATAGTAATCCATCAATTACCATGGTATTCCCTGGTTTGGAAATGTTTGGATGATTGAAAATAAATTTTGATTGATTTGTTGCACTTTCGAACAAAACAGAATTCTTTAAAAATTGATATCAGTAGCTAAAAATGATTCACAAAATTGACACTTTTAAACTTTTAGGACTAAAAATTGAATTTTAAAGTTCAAAACTATTTTTAGACTTGAAAATAAATTTTAGGCATAAAAAGTAATTTTTAAGCTTAAAATTTAACTTTAGACCTAAAAAGTAATTTTCAGGCTTAAACTTTAAGTTTAGGCTTAAAAATTAATATTTAGGCTTAAAAATTCAATTTGAGCTTAAAAGCGGATTTTAGGCTTACTAATAAAACTCTAGGCTTAAAAATCCAAAATTAAGCTTAATTATTATAAAATAGGCTTGGAATATACACGTTAAACTTTTAGCTTAAAATGCAAAATTAGGCTTAGAATTCAAAGCTTAGGCTTAAAAAACAACTCTATACTTAAAAAACAAATTTCAGCCCCCCCCCTTCCCCCGTCTCCAACAAGCAATAGTAATACCTACCTTGAGCCCATGTCTCATTCGCAGGCTCTTCATGTCCACTTTTGGTCATACATATCACGGTAAAGTTTAGCGACAACGAATTTGCCACCACCATAGACATGCATATCATACTCATGAACAATATGATGAACCTCGTTCTTCCACCACAGAAACAACCAGTCGATTCTTGGGATTCAAAATCTGGATCCTCGAGCTTCTGGCCCATTTGTTGAACTTCCTTCTCGGTCAGTATCACTACACTATGTTGACGATTTGAGTTGTTATTGGCTGTCATTTTGTGATTTTGGTGTTGTTTTACCTGGAAAATGAAAGAAAATTATTTTTTGTGTAAAATGGCTGTTACAGTTGACTTTTTGAATAAAAACCCATAAAAATACATAAAATGTCACGTTTTATGCAAAGAAACGTAAAAAATGCATAAAATTTCACGTTTTATGAAAATACACGTGAAAATGCATAAAATTTCACGTTTTATGAAAATAGACGTGAAAAATGCATAAAATTTAACGTTTTATGAAAATAGACGAGAAAAATGCATAAAATTTCACGCTTTACAAAAATAGACGTAAAAAATGCATAAAATTTAACGTTTTATGCAAAAAACGTGAAAAATGCATAAAATTTCACGTTCAGTGTCCCTAAACTAAAAGGGCTAGAACTAAACTAGGAGTATTTTACCAAACAATGCTAAACACGTAGCTAAATACTTTTCCAATATTTAAAACTTTCGAAAAAATACCAAAACCCAACTTACTCTATATTATTGTAGTCTCGCTGTAAATCCTGTAAACTGTGTAGAATTAAATGTAAAGCTAAACCTTGATGCTGCGAATAGAAAGCGTTAAACTGCGACGAAAGATGGTGCAGTGGTCGTGTGGAGCAGCCAAGTTGGCGTAGTCAATTATTACAAAAAACTGAAAAGTTTCATGTTATGGTAGGTTCGAAATGAAAACTTGGGAAAAATCGAAAATTTTGAAAATTTAGAAGTCACGTATCATTTCAAAATGCGGGAATCGACTTAATTTTTTTTTAAATTCGCGGGTAAAAGTCATTATCATAAATAAAAAAGTTTTAAAAATTGCGAAAAAAATTATCAACCGGTCGATTTTTTAAAATATAATTATAAAAATTGTCAAAAACGCTTTTAAAAATTCATAAAAAAACCTAAAAAACGTATATTATAAACATAAAATTTTTTTATTTATCGACCGGTCGATTTTTCAAAAATCAATAAAAAATTGCAAAAGCGTTTTTAAAATGTCATAAATACCCAAAAAATCTGTATTTTACAAAAAAAAATTGTTTTTTCATTTATTGACCAGTCAATTTTCAAATTTCTTAAAATTTTTTAAAAAATCATACGAAATTTAAAAATTTTATTTCGCTACCCTGCCTTGCCCTACACTACCCCATCCTACTCTTCCTGCGCTGCTCTCTTCTATCCTACCCTATTCTGCCCCCCTCCCTCTCACCCTCCCCAAAAATTTTTAAAAAATCAAAAAATCCACCCCAATATCAGTAATACTTGTCCTACCCTGATCACCCGTCCCAAGGTGGAACACTCTGAAAAATAAAAGTAAATTCCCCTCAGCCGCGCGGTTTTAAACGTTTATTTCGTAAACCGCCGAAGGAAGGCTGTAATGAAGCAAATGAACAAGTTTTGGGTTACGAAAAGGGAATCATCGACAGGGAAATCCGACCGAGCAAAGTTCACTGTACACCATGTGACTTTTTGTCATAATATGCCACTTTTTATATTTTTTTTCGATTTAAAAATGGATTTTAGGCTTATAAATGGATTTTAGGCTTAAAATTAATTTTTAGGCTTAATATCCCAGTTCAGGCTTATAAATGACTTTTTAGGCTCCAAAATGAAATTTTGGCTTAAGACTGACTTTTGGGCTTAAAAATGAAATTTACTTAAAATTTAATTTTAGGCTTAAAAATTAGTTTTTAGGCTTAGAAATGAAGTTTAGGCTTAAAAATGACTTTTTAGGCTTAAAATGCCAGTTTAGGCTTAAAAATGGAGTTTGAGCTTAAAATTACTTTTTAGGCATAAACATCGCATTTTGGGCCTACAATTAAAGTTAGGCTTAAAAATTAGTTTTAGGCTTAAAAAATGAATTTTTAGACTTAAAGATGTCTTTTTAGGCTTATAAATGAATTTTAGGTTTAAAAATAAAGTTTTGGGTTTAAAAAATCTAGAAACAAAACAAATATTGTCATAAAATCGAAACGTGACAGACAGAGACAACAATCGTTTGACCGTTAAATTAATCGAAAACTTATTATAATATAATCAAAGAATAATTTATTCTATTTTGCTTCAGGCTATTTATAATCAGTTTAAAATCAAAAATATAACCCTACCCTGCCCTAACTTAAACTACCCACACGATACCTACAAAAACCACCCTACCCTACCTCCACTACCTTTACCACACCTACCAACCTCCACCCAACCCAACCGTGCCCTCACCAGCACGGAATACAGCCACCACCCAACTCACTTCCACGCCAAGCCAATCCGTCCTACTTAAACATACTTCCAATCCAGTCCAACCGCAATTAGCCACCCCTCCCACTCCGGGCTAGAATCGCCATGACGCACCGTAAATCCCGCTTCATTAACCAAACACAAGAAATATGCTGACGAAACGAGAGAGTGTCAGAGAAGCGAGAGGGAATTGAACAAGATGATTTGAATGACGTCACAGCAACATTAACGTAAGTGAATAATCGGGATGAGTAAGATCGAAAAGTCAATTAAGAGGTGTTCTACATTCCGTCACAAACTTTTATGGATTTCACGTATGGAATTTTGAAGGAAGCGTCATGAAAGAATGGCAGAACAAATTGAAACTTAAACTTTGTGTTGTCAAAAAAGTTCTTGCCATTTTTTGCTTTGTAAAGAAAGTTCTTGCCATTTTATACTTTGTAAAGAAAGTTCTTGCCATTTTTTGTTTTGTAAAGAAAGTTCTTATTATTTCATAGCCATAAAATTAAAATTTAAGGTTCTGCAGGCTGCTGGTGACATGTTATACGACGGATATTAAATTAATGTTTTGTAAAGAAAGTTCTTGCCAGTTTTTTAATTGTAAAGAAAGTTCATGCCATTAAAAAAAAGAAAAAGTTATTTCCATTACCGCCGATCCCCCATTCCCCCCCATAAAAAAAACAGAAAATTATAGTTGCCATACCCACAAGAAAAAAATAAGACTCTTTGGCGCTCCACTTTTTAGCCCCTCCCCCCAAAATTAAAAAGTATCTTTGTGATACAAACCCTTGCTCTTCCTACCTACAGTTACCGTATTCACCCTAACTTATCTATTTCTACAAATAAACAATTCTTCTCCTATCGTATTTGGTCCCCCACTCTACCCCTCCCCTCTATTCAATATTAACAAAGAAAGGCTACCCTAATCTAAAATATTCTGCCCTACCCTGCTCTTCCTTCCCATTTCTTGCCCTACTCCCACTGTACCTTGCATTTTCCTACCCTACCTTACTGTACTTTGCCATTTTTTACCCTGACATCCCCTACTCTAACCTATGCGTCCTTACCTCCCTAGAAAATGCTACGTTTTTCCTACCTTTTCTTACGCATATTTACCCTGCCCTGTCTTAAATCCTAAAACTAACCCAATATATTCTATCCCCTCTATCCTACTGTACCCTTCTATATCCTAGCATGCTATACAGTACTGTAAAATGCTTTACTCTACCCTATCCATACCCCCCTTAAAGATGCTTAGCTTATCCTACCCTTATCTACCCATACCTATCCTACCCTACCCTACCCAAAATTCCAACTTTAAGCCAACATCTCTACCCCACCCACCCCTCAAATCCCGTAAACCCACAATAACTTCAAAACCCGGTCGAAATCGAACAAAAATCATAAAATTCAAATCAAATGCAGCGACAATAGCCGTTTGATATCGGATATCAGGCTATAAATACGAACTGAACAAAGAAATGGGTGGACGAACTTAAAAAGGTGTTTCCCCAAAAACATATTAATGTAGAAAGGGGCGGGGCTTGAAAACACAAAAAATCAAAAATAAGCTGGAAGTTCAACTATCAAATACCAGAGTCATTCGAATTTGGGAAATACCAAGTTTTAGGCTGAAAAACGTAAAAATGCATAAAATTTAACGTTTCATAGAAAAAAACGTGGAAAATGCACAAATTTAACGTTTTTTGAAAAGAAACGTGAAAAATGCATAAAATTCTACGTTTTATGGGAAAAAGACGTAAAAAATGCATAAAATTTTACGTTATATGAAATAAAATGTGATAAATGCATAAAATTTCACGTTTTAAAGAAAAAAACGTAAAAGTGCATAAAATTTGTAAAATTTAACGTTTTTTGTCCATAAAAGTAAAAAAAAAAAGCAAAATTTTATCTTTCAATTAAAAATTCTTTTTCTTACTTTCTCAGCCCAGCCCAGCCCTGCGCTGTTTTGTCTTCCCGTTCTCTGCTTCATACCTCTTCTACTCTTCCCTACCTTTTATCGTGTTGCCCTCTTTCTAAAGTCAAAATACGCAGAGTCTTTGCCCAGTACAATCTACGTGTATAATTGATAAACTACCTCGCTATGACATTTCCTAACAATGCCTAAAAGTACAAAACAAGAAGACATAATCACGCGAAAAGTAGACATAAGAAACGGGCCGGGCCGGGCCCAATTTTCAAGCCCGATCAGAAAATTTCTAGGCCCGGCCCGGCCCGTTTTAAAAAATTTTAAAAATTTTGAAACTTAAAAACTAAAAGGAAAATTGGCTTTAAATTGTTTTTTTTAGATCATTTATGGATCATAGAACCCAATAAAATCTAAAAACATAAACGGGAATTGAAATAAAAAATTTTGAAAAATTTAGAAATTTTTTTTTTGGGCCCGGCCCGGCCAAATTTTGCTCAAGGCCGGGCCGGCCCGTTTCTCATGTCTAGTGAAAGAGTACCTTACCATGTGATAATTGTTCACTCAATACGCTTTTGGGGAAATTCCTAGATACGCAGGAATTACCCCAAAACGTGAGTAATACGGTAAAAAACGTGTTGAAACAATAAAAAATGAAAAAAAATTACAGTTACGCCCAAAACTTCAATATTTTAAGTACAATATTATTTAGCGAATGAGTGGTTTTTGACCAAGTCTCATATAGTTTTGTCTATTTTTTGAGTTTTTAGACATTTGAACCGTCATCACTTTCGAGGAAGCAGAAGTTTAGTCACATTTTTGCTGTTTAGCCAATTTGTCTTGCCATTTTATGTTTTGTAAAAAAAGTTCTTGCCATTTTATGTTTTGTAAAGAAAGTTCCTGTTATTTTTTGTGTCGTAAAAAAAGTTTTTGCCATTTCTTAGTTTGTAAAGAAAGTTCCTGCCATTTTTTGTTTTGTAAAGAAAGTTCTTGCCATTTTTTCTTCTGTAAAGAAAGTTCTTGCCATTTTTTGATTTGTAAAGAAAGTTTTTGCCATTTCTTGATTTGTAAAGAAAGTTTTTGCCATTTTTTGTTTTGTAAAGAAAGTTCCTGCCAGTTCTGAAAATTTATTCTAGTTTTATTACCTAAAAACACCCGTTTTGTCTAAAAATACTAAAAATAGAAGTTCAAGAACCCAAGAAGACGTAGCTCTATCGCAAACAAATTTCAAAAATTGCCGCTCTACTTTACAATAACTATTGGCATTTTCCAAATATTTTGATAAGTTATCAAAATATAATAGATCATAAGCATTAAAGATTTTTTTTAAAGTAAGGATTAGAGATCAAGAAGAACTTGTATATAAACAGATTTCTGAGAATGCCAAACTAAATAAGAGGTTGATAGGTTATTTTTAAATCAAAAAAAAAATTTTTATTGACCGGTCGATTTTCAAAATTTGAAAAAAGGTCTAGATGATGTTCTCAAAAAGTGACAAAAAGCTTAAAATATCGTATTTTATAAAAAAAAACAAATTTTTCATTTATCGACCGGTCGATTTAAAAATGTTTTAAAATTTAAAAAAATGAAAAAATTGTAATAGTCTTACCCTACCCTACCTTACCCTACCCTACCCAACCCAAAAAAAAATTTTTTAAAGGTACAACAAAAATTACAGTAATCTCTACCTTTTAAAGTATTTCTTCCTCAAAAAAACGTACGAGTTATCAATTACACCGCCCTACGTGAATACGTAATCCCACTCTAACGCTCTTTAAATATTATTGTTTTAAAACACTTACAAAACAACAACACCCCCCCCTCTTATCATGCGCAAACTTTTCGAATAATCACTCTCGAAATATCGAAAAGTACGAGAAACAAAACGAAAATTCAAGAATCCAATCCCTACGCTGTGTGAAGGTTAGAAGAGAGGTCTTTCATCGACAACAGATCATAGGTATAACGCTTATTAGAAGGGCATGTCAATGAAAAAACTGTAAGGGCAGTTAATAAAAAATATGCTTTATACTAAATTGAATTGAAATTTTATTCTTATTAAAAATGTCAAAAATTTATAATATTTAAACAAAGTGTCACAAAAATTATTGGGTTTTTTAGAAAATTAAGCGAAGTGTCACAAAAATTATTGGTTTTCTTAAAAAGTGGGATTTCTTGGTCTAAAAATAGTAGAAAATAAAAATTTGTTTTTTATTGGCAAAAACTTTCTTTACAAAACAAAAAATGGCAAGAACTTTCTTTACAGCTCAAAAAATAACAAGAACTTCCTTTACAAAACATATTATGGCAAAACCTTACTTTACAAAACATAAAATGGCAAGAACTTTCTTTACAGAACAAGAAATGGCAAGAACTTTGTTTACAAAACCAAAAATAGCAAGAAATTTCTTTACAAAGCAGTAATGGCAAAAACATTCAAAAGAATTTAACCAGTCTAGCTTACCTTAATTACAATTCCGTTCGTATCAGCAAAAATCGTACGCATAACATGCATAACAATATTAAATATAAAGTTATGCAGTTTACAATTTACAGTTTATTTACTAGCTCAACCATCAAATACAAATAAAATCATAACATTGAAATTACATGTGACAATAATCTTTGATTTCTTCGGTGTAGTGCCTGAGAGCTTCTTGCCATCTTGCATCTTCCGCCTCCATCCAGTCAATTCCAACCTTCTTCCTTATCTTATCCTGCCATCTTGTACGAGGTCTGCCAATCGGTCTTTTGCCATCAGGTTGCTAGGTCGCAACTTTCCTTTCCCATCTATCTTCAGGCATTCTGGCTACCCTCCTTCCAAACTTCCACTTTCTTTCCGTTGCCTTCACCACCACTTCATCTAGCCCTGTCCATCTTCTTATTCTTTTGCTTCTAATTCCCCATCTTAACTTTACATTACACATCATTCTTTCCATCTTCTTTTGACTTCTGCTGAGCTTGATTCGGTCCGCTTTTGTCCATGCCCAAATTTCTGCCCCGTACAGCAACGCGGGCTCAATACACATCTTGTAGTATTTCGCCTTCAGTGATGTGGGAGTCTTCTTGTTCATCAGCAGCCATTTAACTTCCTGGAACTTGCACCATCCACTTCTGATTCTGTCTTTTATCTCTTCACCATGCTCATTTGGAAACGTCAACGTCTGACCCAAATATTTGCACTTCTCTTTCTTCTGAATCTCCATATTCTGAATTCTCAGTACTCCTTCCACATTCCCCATCCAGCATGTTTTCTCTTTGTTCATTCTGAGCCCAATCCTGTTCGTCGCTTTTTCTACCTTTTCTGTCATCTCTTTTAGTTCTTCCGTATTGTTCGCCAGAATTGTGATGTCCGTACTTTTCATATATAATATAAATACAAATAAAAAAACAATTTTTTAACTATATAATAAGAACATGACCTTTTCGATTATTGGGACAATTCTACACAAGAATTAAATCTTGCCACAGGGTTTCGATGTTCTAGCTACCTTTGTTGATATCCAATTTATAAGCCATAATCGTAGCTTAAAGCGTAGCCATAGTTTCGAACTTAGGCTAAGCAATGGCCCTAGGGCTCTGGCTCTAGACTAAGTTCTAAACTAAGCTTCAGATTAAGCTCTAGCCTAAGCCATAGACTAAGCTCTAGACTAAGCTCTAGGCTAAGCCCTAGACTAAGCTCTAGGCTAAGCCCTAGACTAAGCTCTAGACTAAATTTTAGACTAAGTTCCATACTAAGCTCTAGACTAAGTTCTAGGCTAAATTTTATACCAAGCTCTAGACTAAGCTCTATACTAAAACCTAACCTAAGCCGTAGCATAAGCGCTAGTTTTAGCTCTTGCTCTATTACACGATAAAACTGTGAACTTTATTTTGATCGAATTTCAATGAAATTTTCTAAATTTTCAGTCCAAAGTTCAAGCCAATGTTCAATTTAATTTTGGAAACGACATTTGTTCTTCTATGGTTTTTTCAAATGTTAATTACTTTTATAGTTATTAGAGACTGTTGGCTAGCCCTTTATGAAAAAAACTGTGACATTTTGTTGATTTTTCGTTTTACCAAAGTTTAAATTTTTTGAATTTCAATTAATTTCCTAAACTTTCAGTCCAAAGCTCAAGCTTCTTTGAATTATTTTAGGTATTCAATTGCTTTTTATTAATGGCATTTTATTTTGGTCGATTATTTTTAAATGTTAAATGCCGTCTTAACCATTTTAGACTGTTGGCTAACCTTTTATATTCAAAAAACAATGACATTTTGTTGATTTTTTGTTTTAAAAAATAATTTTTGATTTTTAATACTGTTGAAAAGTTCAATTTAAAGTCAACAAAACATATTTTTTACAAATTTTTTTCAAAAACAATATCTTCCTCTTTACATTGAAGATCTTCCTTTTTAATTTAAAGAGGAAGGTAGAGACTTTAAACTTTTTAAACTCAATTTTTTAAATATTTTATTACTACCGCAAAAGTACAACAATACAGAATGATGTACTGTACAAAGTCTATAGTTTGTTTGATACCTATTATACTGAGTGCCGACATAAAGAACCCGCCATAATTTGCTTGTAATTTCCTGTAAAAAATGGCGGGTTCTTTATGTCGGCACCTATTATTTAATATAAAAGTACGAAAAATTGCAGCAAAATAAAAATCTACAGAACAAATATAAAAAATGAAAAAAAACCGTAATATTACGACAAAATTTTGTGACAAAATAATATTTACGGAACCCAAAAGCCACGGAAAACTCATCAGAATCACGTCTTGAAGATGAAAAACACAATATTACATTATTCTTGCTGTAAATATTACGGTAGGATGATAAACAAGATTGTTTTTGAATAGTACTCTAAGATTCTACCCTACCCTACTCCACCCTACCCTACCCTACCCTACCCTGCCATACCCCTCAGTGGGATCAAGCACCACTATTTATAGCGGATAAAACAAACTTACAGACCGGGTACGGTATTCTGTTTAAAAACAGTGTAAGACTATTAGTGTCCCTAGGTTTGGCTACAATATGAGTAAGGCAAAACTAAAGTAGAGCTTAGTAAAACTGATCTTATTCAAAAGTAGGTAAGGTCTAGAGTATAACAAAGATAAAGTAGTAAGACTAAAAAACTATTTTTAAAACCTAGTGGTCTTTTATGACTCAAATCGTATTATTTGTAGTACAATTAAGTAGATAAACAATCGAATAGTAAAGTAATAAAAGTATTATATTACTCAGCATAATCCGATGATTTTTGAAAAACCAAAACAGTTTTTTCGACAGTTGAACGAAGGGTAATATATACACAAGTAAAAGTTTAATCCTTTAGATCAAAGAATATTAAACGTATACTCTCAGTTGTTCTAGGGCTAGAGCTCTGAATTAGGGCTCTGGGTTATGGCTAAGGCTCTGGGCTAGGACTCTGGGGCTACGACTCTGGGCTAGGGTTTTGGGCTAGGGTTCTGGGCTAGGGCCTTGGGCTAGGGCTCTGGGCTAGGGCTCTGAGCTAGGGCTCTGGGCTAGGGCTAGGGCTCTGGGCTAGGGTTCTGGGCTAAGGCTCTGGGCTAGGGTTTTGGGCTAGGGTTCTGGGCTAGGGCCTTGGGCTAGGGCTCTGGGCTAGGGCTCTGAGCTAGGGCTCTGGGCTAGGGCTCTGGGCTAAGGCTCTGGGCTGGGGCTTTGGACTAGGGATCTGGGCTAGGGCTCTGGGCTAGGGCTCTGGGCTAGGGTTTTGGGCTAGGGTTCTGGGCTAGGGCCTTGGGCTAGGACTCTGTGCTAGGGCTCTGGGCTAGGGCTCTGGGCTAGAGTTCTGGGCAAGGGCTCTGGGCTAGGACTACGGCTACAAACAAAAAAAACCAACTAGATAGCTACCGTATGCCTTACAATAGAAAAACAACAATCATATTTCACTCCAACAGTCTATAAACGTCCCTTCAACCCACCAAAGAACGAGAAATCCCCAATTATCTCAAAACAAATAATCGAAAAAAGTCATAAACCCGAACCCAGAATCCGTATTTACCACGCCCGAACGAAACCCCAGAGTCAAATCGTTCATCTCTATGTTTTTTCGTCAATGAAAAACGCCGGAATCTCCTTGCCGTTTCCTTTCATCGACGGAAAAATGGGATCAAGCGGCTGCGCTTCAGCTGATTTTACTGTAATTCCCGACAAAACCAATTGGCTGTAATGTCATATGCGGGTAATAGGCATGGGGTATATTTAATCTGGCATAACACAAGTTTTAGAGGCATGTATGAGTCATCAGAGAACGTTTTGAGAAAAAATGTAAAAATTGTATTACAAAATTGAAAAATGAACGAAATGTCACAAAAATTATTGGAAAAAATATTTTTTGGATCTTTTTATTTTTTAAGCGTCAAATCTGTTTTTAACATTAAATTGGAGTTTTTAGGCCTATAAACATCAATTTAGAAAATTAGACGAAATGTCACAAAAATTATTGGAAAAATTATTTTTTGAAATTATTATTTTTTAAAGGTATTTAGTAATCTTAAACTTTATTTTTGCCATTCTAAGTCATTTTTGAAGCAGTTTTAAAATTAGACGAAACGTCACAAAAAGATCGAAAATTTTTTTTGTAAAATTTTAATTTTTTAAATATAAATAACATTTTTTAACTAAAAATTTAGTTTTTAAAAATATTTTTACGCATTTCTACAATTTGACACGAAGTGTCACAAAAATTATTCGAAAAATATCTTTTTATTTCTTTATGCCTCGAACTGTATCACTTTGCTTAAACTCAATTTTTCTTGTTTATCTAAATAAAAATTTGGTACCGTTTCTCAACTCAAATCGATATTCCCACGTTAGTGATATTACTCTTCGATCGAAGGTCGTAAAAAGCCGTATTCAGCGGAGAAATCGTCGGTTTTTCCTTTCGTAAAGTGATGAAATCGACCTTTCGAGATCAGTTTGGCACGCGGTTTCACACAAATCGTGTAGAATCTACCATTCACCTTGAATATGGCTTGTTTACTACGGTTTTTTGAGTTTCCAACTACTTTTCTCTTTCCAACAATTTTTGTGACACTTCGTCTAATTTGTTAATTCCGTCAAAATCAACTCAAAAATGCAAAGGTAGCTTAAAACCATTAACAAGCCTTAAACAATACCAATTTAAAATATAATTTTTTTCCAATAATTTTTGTGACATTTCGTTCAGTTTTAAAAATCTATTAAAATCGTCTTAAGGATAAAAATAATGTATAGAAATATTAAATATCTGTAGAAAACGTCAAATTTAAAAAATTATTTTTTCCAATAATTTTTGTGACATGTCGTCATATTTTCTAAAACTCAAGCCTAAGTCATAATAGTCACTATTGATTTAATACTAATTTTTGTGCTTTTTACATTCATTATCATCACTTTTAACACTATCTTTGTGTGTTTCCTTCCAAAAAAGTACTGTAACAACAACGTGCACTTTAAATCTTTAAAAATCGCATGTAAACATGATCATTTCGTCCGATTCCAAACAAATTGATTACAATAGAATGCAAATATTTTGAACCGCATCCTTTCTAATATTAGTCATAAAGCACCGGACAAAGGCGAACAAAAATAACTTCAACAATCGTAAAATACGTAAACAGCCGGAGGGGATTTCCCTTTTGCTTTTGTATTAGTGAAAAACAACAAAAAAAGCAAAAAGTTGTCTAAATACAATACGGTATGTTGAAATAAACGTTAAAATCAATATCTTATCTATACATACTCCGTGTTTTGCATTTTCAATCATCAAAATGCTCAAAGCCGTTTTCCAATAAATTTTGTGACATTTTGTCAAAATTTCCAATACTGATTAAAAACATCATAAATCTTATAATAATGCTTAAAAATGTCTTATATATGCCTAAAATAAAAAAAACACAAAAACCAAATTCAATAAATTTTGTGACATTTCGTCAAAATTCAATACCGTCTAAAAAAATCAATGAAAATCAATTTTTTAACCATAATAACATAAGAACAAATGTAAAATCAAAAAAAGACAACAATAATTTGTTCAATGAAGTTTTTTGACCTTTTGTCAACTTTTCCAATAATTTTTGTGACATTTTGTCAACTATTTCAATTTGAACCTATAACTCATTTCTTCCTCAAAATTACAGTATCCATTCCAAACTATAACCTATAAATACCTTTTCCTGAAGTTTCTATTACAAAACAATTATTACAAATAGGAATGACAGAGAGAAGACACAAATATTTTTAAAAACGTGACTAAAACCTACTTTATGAGCAAAAAATTGTAAGAAAATGGGGGATTCCTTACACCGATCGCTAAACAAACTCGTCAATTTCAGATGACAACTCATCAAAGATTTTAGTTTAACCGTGAAGTTTCGACCAATTTCCACGACATGTTTTCAGCGAATAGCGAGAACGCTACTACTTTAGAGTAACTTACTGTAACTGAATTTCTCAATAGTAAATTGTAGAAATGCAATTTTTATGGTGGTTTTGAGACTATTTTTTACCAAGATGACATGTTTTAAAATTTTAATCTACTAAAATAAAATATGTCATCATGACAAAAAAATTGTCATCATGACAAAAAATGTGTTAGCGTGGGTCACTAAAACTTTTTTTTTTAATTTCTATACCATTCAAATGTAAGTAGTAACTAAAATAATGCAAAAAATCATATTAAGCAACAGTCATGATGACAAAAAAATGTGTCATCGTGAAATTTACCAAACTATCTTCAATATTAAAAAAATAAAATAAAACAATTAAAAAATATTATTTACAAGTATTAAAAAATATTTAAAAAATTTTCTAAAAAACATGTCAAGATCACGAAAAAAATGTGTCATCATGACATCCCTGTTTTTGTAAAATACGCCCACAAGAAGGAGACTGGAAAACACCCATGCATTTCAATCCAAAAAAAAAATAATTTCACTTGATCTATGATCAATTTCATAATACAGTAATCAATAACGTTTCTAATCGACCATTTTTACGTTTTCTTATTAAAAACTTGTCATAAAGTGTAACATGGAAACACCCCCATGTGACCTATAATAAGGTCTGCTGGGTTCAAGACATCAAGAAAGTGCAATATTTTTCATGTTTATAAATAGGATAACATTGAAAATGGCAAAAAAAACATTCAAAGTGGCAAAACAAGGCTTAAAAACAAGGGAAAACGGTAAAATAAGCCTAAAGAAAGCCAAAAAAATAGCGCAAAAATGCGACTTTAACATAAAACAAAAATTTTTCTAATGACTTTTAGACCGCAACGTTAAACTCTTGTCTTTCTCACCTCTTCAAGATGTTGACAAAAATCTAGGCTATCAAATATTATAACTTCTAGGCGTTCGAGTTCATCAGACCGTATTCAAAACAATGCAAATTTGCTGACACCTTCACTTCTCAGAAGTCTGTCAACAATTGTGTGACGTAAAATGTGTTCGCGTACTTGCAAAATAAAAAAAATGCTTTGAAATTTAAAAAAAACGCTAAAGTTAGCAATGATACTAATCTTAAGCAAATTCTAAGCCTCTATGCACAAGCTCAAGCTTGAACTTAAAACTAACCCTTAACCTAAGCCTAACCCTTAACCTAAGTCTCACCATTAACCTAAGCTTACGCAAAATCCTAAGCCCAAGCCTATTCCTAAGCCCCAGCCTAACCTTAAGCCTAAATGAGCCTAAGCTTACGTCCATGTCAAACAAGCTGTAGCTTACCTAAAAATTATAAACACAGAAGAATCGACAATAATATCTGTGATGTTACCTAATACTTTACAAATTATACAAGAAGATAGCCTTAGAAAAATTGCAAGAAATCATATTGCGCAACTTTTTCTTATGTAACTTTACAGTTTTATATAATACGCCTCGATGTAAAACGACCCACCAAAATTACTGCGAGTACGGATATGTTACTCTGTATTTTTGCGAGTAGTTACTTTCTATATGTCATAAAGCTACAAAACATACGCCTACAAAACCTAAGCCTACTAAGCCTAAGCCTAATAAGCCTAAGCCTACTAAGCCTAAGCCTACTAAGCCTAAGCCTACTAAGCCTAAGCCTACTAAGCCTAAGCCTAATAAGCCTAAGCCTACTAAGCCTAAGCCTACTAAGCCTAAGCCTACTAAGCTTATACACAAAAGTAAGCCTGCAAAGCCTATGCCTAATCAAGCTAAACCTAATAATTGTTAGCCTACTCAGCCTAAGTCTACCAACCATAAGCCTACCAAACATAAATTTTCTAACCCAAAGCCTGCTAATCCATTGCTTCAAAAACCCTTATTTTATAAGCCTAACCTACTGGTACATCTTTGTAACCCCTAAATATAAAATTTACTTCCAAAAATGCTTCTTTTAAAAAGCGATCGTTCAAAACTTGTTGACAGCGATCTTTAAAGGCTGAAGCTAAAAGAGTAAAGTTGGAAGTTGACCGATCGATCCACTTCAATTCCATTGATGAATAGAAAAGATCATTTTTAAGTTCTTGGAGATTGAAATTTTGTAAACTTCCAACTGTTTTGACATTACAGGATTCTATTGTACTTTTTTTTTGTATTTTTTGTATTTTTATATTGAGCATCAATGTAAAATGGCATTTTTTGGTTTTTTTATCTGCACTGTGCAGTCAACAAAATTAATTTTTTTCAAAAAAAATTTAAAAATTTAAAAAATTTAAATTTTTTCACATTTTTATATTGGTCTTAACATTTTTTTACTTTTCTTTTAACCACAGTAAAATATAATAGCAGTATAACATAAAAAATGGCATTAATTATTTCAAAAAAAAATTTTTTTTAAATTCAAAAACTGATTAAAACTAAAAAATAAAAGCCCATTTTTTACTTTAAAAGTTACAGTAATATGTACAATTTTTAGTTACAGTAAAACAACATTCAATGTTTTATGCTTCTTTGAAGTAATATCCATCTGGAGTTAGATATACGCCTTTGCCGAGGTATTTGTAGCCTTGTCTGGTCAAGCTTTCACGTCTTTCACTTTCGGCTGAACTGCCATTCGAGCTACTGTTCTTTTCAGTTTTAGAGCTAGTACCATTACTCTGGCCAGTAGTACCATTTTGGCCGGTTTTAGTACCATTTTGGTTGGTTTTAGTACCGTTTTGACTTGTTTTAGTACCACTTGCACCATATTTTGTACCGCTTTGACTACCCTGTCCATCAGCAACATCCTGAGTCCCAGATGCACCATTAGTACCACCAGTACCAGTAGTACTACTCTTAATCTCAGCGAAAGCAATCCTCTTGTTAGTAACATCATATACTTGACAGTAATCCCTAATGAAAGCATCGCCAAAGATCCAGAACCCAAAGTCACCAGACGAAATGGCAATCTGACAAGCTCCAGAAGACTGCGTAGATCCAATCATCAACGATTTGGCATTAATCGTATAGGATTTGCTGTTAACTGTGACTGATATTGTAGTAGTTGACTGACAATCCAAATAGTAAGCTCCGCCGGAAGAGGTTGCTCCAAGGGCTGAAGCCAGGCTGCTGATTTGGTCAGAAGGAACGATGATGTAGGAGGTTCCGGTGTCGGAAATGGCCTAAATTGATATATGAATGACGTCTTGTAGCCCCCGCCTTTGATAAATAAAAGAATAGTAAAAAAAAATTTTGATCCACCCCCTAAAAAATTTACCCCGCCCACCAAAAAATTAAAAAAAAGAAAAAATGTTGTCTTTTATAAAACCAAAAAAAATTTTTTTGACCATTCCTCTTCCCCCCCCAACCCCAAAAATTTACCCCGCCCACTCCAAATCTTCAAAATTTACTCCTCCCATTCCAAATCCTTAACCCACCTTAAAATTCGAAGCCTTGAAGCTACCAACAGTAAACGAATCGACCGAAAACTGCCAATAAGGTGTTCCAGTCGTCAGTGGAATCCAATCATACCCACTTTCACAATGTTCATCATCAAACCCGCCCAATGTGATTTGACCACCATCAGCACAAGATGTCGTTTCACAGTCAGCAAAGTAGGCAGTAAAAATAGGCTCATCAAATACACCATCTTTAACTCCTTGAATGAAGATTGGCGTGGGATACGAGCCGGATTCAAAGCCAAGACCAAGAATTCCACTGTCTTGGAAGGTCATTTGACTTCCAACCCCGAATGTCACTGGAGATGATAGGGAAAGGGTGGAAGAGCCATTACCAAACTAAAATGCAGGTTTTTAGCTTTAAAATAAGATAAAACACTTAAATTTCTGAAGAAATATAAAAAAGATGAATTTTTGACGATTTGAGGTCAAAAGGTACCTAACACAACATCGTTTTTAGCCGAAAATGAACCAAAAAGCAAATTTTTTAAAACTAACTTATTTCAGTAAAAGAAAAACTGATCTTTCTGGCCCTAAAATGGTATATTACACTCGGTTTTCCTTACAAATCAACAAAAAAATGAATTTTTAAAATACCTTTCCTCAAAAACACCTAACACAATATCGTTTTTTAGCCAAAAACCACTTTAAATCCACCATTTTTCAAAAACCATTATTATTTCTACATTCTCAACAAACTTTTACAGTTAAAAACCCTCAACTTACCGCGAATTTATCGGTGTAATATTGTCCAGAAGCCGATCCAGTCCCATAACTAATCGAAAACGACTGTCCTGTGCTCTTTGAAGTCGATGAAGAACTCGGATTATACGTCTGACCACTTTGACAACTTGTAGCATAACTCCCACTTGAACTACAACCTTGTCCAGGTACCCAAAGAATACTGGATCCAGTATCGAATTGAAGAAGGAAGCTTTGAGCAGGAGTACCAAGAGATACCACACCTTTGTACCAAATATCGTTCTGATTCTCGATGGTCAGACCAAGAGAATCCTCCAAAACCTCTGAAAATATTGTTCGAAGTCTTGGCTATCTTATGATGTATAATACACGACAGTTACATTCTGATTTAGTAGAGTGAAATAGCTTAAATGTTACCCTACATCAATATCACAAATCCTTACTTCCTTTAGCCCATTTTCGATTATGGCTAACAGTAGAGCCCTTTTCTTTGAACAAACTATACTTCAAAACACTGCCATTTACAATAGCAACACTAATCAACAACAAAAACAACTTCATTATCTCAAATCTTCAAGTATAACCTTATGTTACACTTGGTTGATATGTAATACCTTTCAGCTGCCATATCTCCAATATATATAGCCAAATCCCCGGCCAGAAAGTATAAAACATACTTCATATGAAACAATGAACATTCTCCTATGACCTTATTGTTAGACGACTACAAATATTTGAAAAAGTTTAAAAATAAACATAAAAAAGGCAACAATTTTAAATTTCCAGTCAATTTTTCGATTGTTATTATTGTATAACACAATATTTACTCAGATGTACGCATTATTCGGTCATATTCTATATTTATTTAACGAATTTGCCCTTTGTTTTGTTTGAAATTCGAAAAATGAATAAAATTCGACGTAAAACAGACAAAGAAACGTTGTCGCGGCGGGACCAAACTTTATCTTGGCCTTCCGTCGCAAGGTCTCGTTTCTTTTTCAGCCCAAGATTTTCCACATTATTGTTGTTCTTTACTCTTTTTGGACAGTAATTGTAAAGAATTAGTTTATTTAAAGTTTGTTTATATTATTCTCGAGATTTTAACTATATTATTGTCAATTTTTTCTTGAAATTCATATTGATATTGTTTTAGAATGTCGGCAGCCAAACGAGTTGCTCAATCTTCGGTCAACTGGGCTAAGCTGTCCGAAAAGTTGATTGCCAACCATCAGGCCGAGCTCACTAAGCTGAAGGGCCAGAACAGCACTTTCGGAGCTGTGTAAGTTGTTTATTTATGGCTGTTTTGGATTTTAGATTGGGCGTCTAGGTTAACATTTGCTTTTGAGAAAATACAGTGGTTAACTTTGAAGTTTGATGGGAGACTGGTCTTTAAATGAAATAAGAGTTTATTTTTTACGTTTGTAAGACGTTTTGCTTAGTAAAAGGGTTTTATATTTGAGTTATATTGTTTTATGCAGACTATCTACATCAATATCGGAATTTTTGTAGTTCTTACGGAAATCTGGATGTTGGAGCTTTTACTTACTATTATTTGATATGTAGGCTAAATATCTATTTTTAAAACAATTTATAGTTTTATATGGGTTCTAGAATTATAGTTATGTTTTTTTTTACTTTTGATATAAACATCAATACCTCAATATTTTTAGTGTAAACACACTGCCAGCTGATCTGCCCAAGGTTGACTTTGCTCAGCTGAAGAAGGAGCTTCCTGATCACGCCAAAATCTTGGACTCTCTTCAGAAACAATTCGAAGCCATCAAGATCCCATATGGTGAAGTGCCAAAGGACTTGAGCGCTGAAGTCGACAAATGGGTTCAATTTAACGAAGCTCGTGTTAAATTGAACAACTTGAAGGCCGCTGATGGTGCTGCTGAAGCTAAGAAGAAGGTAAGGGGTTTTATCTTGCCTCTTTATTAATTTTAGGGATAAAATTTATATAAACTACTATAATATAATAAAATTTAGGAAGAAAAATGGGCCAATGCTCCACCAGTCGAACAAATGTGTTTGGAACACTTGCCTCAGTACTTCCCACACAAATATGCTGATTTGCGTTACGAAAAGCGCATCCGTAAGTTTTTTTTATCTATTTTTTTTATGTTTAGGTATCAAGTTGAAGGGAAATAGATGAATAGCTAAATTACCACTTTTAATTCTGATTTTTTGGCTTTTCATAGTCTTTTTATGTGGTGTTTTGCTACATTTTTTTAAATTTGCTACAGGGATTTGCTTTTATTACTATAGGTAATATAGCCGACGCCCCATAGCCATATCAAGGAGATACCGATCAAATATTCAAGGTTAATACAAAACATTGTTTCAGCTGATCCATGTGACGTCGGATTCAACGAAGCCGAAGCCTTGGAGACTCGCTTCCGTGACTACAAAGTTCTTCGTCGCCCAGACAAGGTCGATGACCATTAGAGAGGCCTTTCTGACGTTTTTAACCAAACAGTTGATCGTTTAGGTTTGTCCGATTACAAAAATAAAGTAGTTTTTAATAATATTAGGTTTATTTTTTATTTGCATAAAAACTCATGTGTAATATTTTCCTTTGATCAATATTAATGTAGGTTTATGTATGATAATATTAGAGCAAGTGAAAATTTTCGAGAAATTTTTAAATATTTTGAAGGATTTTATGGTTACAAGTCGAGTAGACGAAGTAAAATTGATTTCAGGATTCGAGCTTCATAAGCTACGGTTTTACGAGCATCTGTGACTTGACTTTGCACTAAAAGGCCGTCAGTATGGGTGGAGATGTTCTTTCCATTAACTGTAATGTAAATGGGGTTAAATCTACGAAAAATGGCAATAACTATCTTTAAAGGGTAAAAAATGGCAAAAACTTTCTTTACAAAGCAAAAAACGGCAAGAACTTGTTTTCCAAAACTAAAAATAGCGATAAGTTTCTTTACAAAACAAAATATACTAAACCTGCCTTCACATTGCTCCAAGAACGTCAAACAAGCCATCAAAATCTCGTCACGGATCATTAGAATCTGTTTTGAAATTTGCTCAAACATGGCCAACATGCATCGTTTCGAAAAGTACCATGTGTCCAAGCCTAATCTTTGCTCATACGGCTCCAAAGAGCCAATAATCCTAGTTATCCCGAATTCATAATTACCCTTGGCGCAGTATAATGTGCCAATGACAAGGTTGATGATACAGAAATGAAAGGATTTCTGTTTTGGAGTCTTCATTTCTTCTTTTTCGACTCGCTTCATCATGTCTTCGGCCGATTCATTCAGTCCATCGAGTATGTAACAGACACAAGCATTGGCTAGGACTATGGCACTTACGTCTAGGATCTGGAAATTGTATTGGACAGGGCAACATAGAGGCAGGTTGGGTAGAGAGAGTAGGGTAGGGTTGATAAGGTTGTTAGGGTAGGGTAAGGTGGGCTAGTTCAGAATTGTCATTTTTTGTTTACTCACCTTATCGTATCTCTTGCTGATGACTTTGTCATAGAACCCTGATGCTATTTTGTACTTTTCCTAAAAATATATATTAAATTTTAAAATCGTCTTTGTCATTCAAACTGATTATGTTACAATAAGTTATTTCACACTCGTTTTTTTATAGTAGGACCCAAGGCCGGGGGGGGGGAGGACTTTTGGTCGGGGGTCAAAAAATGTTTTCGAAAAAATCCACAGGCGGGACCACGTTCAATTTTTTTCGAAAAAATTTTTTTTCTGGGGTTGGGGGTACCCCCCCTGTCCCTCCCCCTTGCGCCCGGCCCTGGTAGGACCTACTAACAAAATTGTAAATAGGTTATTATAATTAATCTGTTAATATAATGTGTTTAGTTATATCTTTTTATAATTAAATTGAATCAAAAGTAGCGGGGCACTTTTCATTTATTTTTCAACTAAAAGTGTCCAGCTAGTTTTGGTTCATCCTTAACTTGAATTAAAAATTTAGTTAAGTATACTCGGGTTTGATAATGAAAACTAACTTTTTCGTCTTTTTCCGAATTTTTGCGGCCATTTAAGCGGATTGCCTGTAATGTTTTAAATATTGTGTTTTAGTTTCAAAAAAAAAAAAATGCAACGAAAAGGCATGAAAAACAGGCAACATAATAATTTATAGCTTATAGAAGGTTGAACCAAAAGTAGTGGGACACTTTTAATTGAAAAATAAATGAAAAGTGTCCCGCTATTTTTGATTCAATCTGGTATTAGGTCGTTCACTTAATTCTGCGCCCCATAATGACAGAAATTTTCTTAAAAAGGGGCGCAGAATTAAGTGAACGACCTAATAATAAAAACATTGAAAGCGTTTTTAAAATGTAAAGCTTTGAAAACAACAGTTTTTTTTAATTTCACCATTTAGCGCTTAAAAAGTAGGGTTTGAATTTTAATATAAAGTTAAAAATAGCATTATTGTTAGTAAAAGTTAGTAGTTACTTTAGAAACTCGAAACTTTATGTTAGTGCTATAAACTTTTTAATCTTAAAGGCAGTGTCATGTTAGCTTAGTTAGAATAGTTAGCGAAAGTTAATATAGATTCAACTAAGCGACACGATAACGTACTTGCATGTAGACAGTGTGAGCCATATTCAATAGCCAAGTGTCATTATTTTGACACAGATCGTACGATCGTGAAAACAAACTTTCAACATTACTGTACTCTTCTCTCTCCCATACTATTCGAGCTTGGGCCATTAGGACTGGTATGTATCTAAAATGGCAAAAAATCATATATATATATAATCATAGGACAGTCACGGCAAAACAGGGCATAGAAGGTCAGTTGGGAAGGGTGGGTAGGGCAAGATAAATCTGGGCAGGGCAGTAAGATAGTATTAATATAATGTGTCGTAAAATAAGATAGTGTAGGGAAGCGTAGGGTAGAGTGGGGTAAGATAGAGAAGGGTAGGGTAGGTTAAGGTAGGGTAGGGTAGCGCAAAGTACGGTAGGGCAGGTAAAGTAAAACTACCTTACCTATCCATGGTATTCTGAATCTCTTCAGAAGCCTTCTCCATGCCTCTTTGATTAGCCGAACCTGTAGCTTCGGCCAAGTTTTGATGAGCTTTTCTCAATTTGGCCAATTCGTCGGTCGATAAAGCATCAAATTTACTATAAGCATCAGTGGGAGATGACTGTTGACTAATTAATGCGTCGAGATAGTCAAACATATATTGGTCTAGATACTTGTAGGTTAGATGGGCATTTTCGGCTAGTACGTCGGCTGCTAGGTCATAGTACTGAAACAATATGTTTCATCGTATAATATGTCACCCGCAGGCTGCCGAGCAGCAAAAACTTGTTGTTTGTAAACAAAAATGGCAAGAACTATCTTTACAGGACAAGAAATGGCAAGAACTTTCTTTACAAAACAAAAAACGGCAAGCGCTTTCTTTATAAAATAAAAAATGGCAAGAACTTTCTTTACAAAACATAAAATGGTAAGAATTTACTTTGAAAACCAAAAACTAGCAAGAACTTTCTTTACGAATCAAAAATATTAAAGATCACGACCATACCTCATATTTACAGTACAGTAGAAGTAAATTAGCAAAAGTCTCAGGCGGAAACGGGTTCTGACTCAAAAGATACTGTAACTTTGCGAAACTGTCCGCAAAATTGGTCTCCACACTCATCAAGGCTTGGTTATGTAGAGTTACCGCATCGAGTTCTTCTTCACTCCTAGGTGGCATGTCAGTTAGACAAGCCGATGCCTTCTCCATATTCTTTGCCTTGTATTCAATGGCAAAGCGAAGGTTAAAAGCTTCAATTAAAGCGGTTTCGTTCAATATTATTGTATTGCCGACTGATCTGACTTCAATTCCATCTGTCACTGTGCCTACTCCCAGTTCTGAAAAAAATAATTATTTAGGCTTAGAAATGAGGTTTAGGCTTAAAAATAACTTTTAGTTTTAAAAACGAATTTTGAGCATGTGGTTTATTTTAAGCCTAAAAATTAGTTCTTTCATATAAATTAGACTTACGAATAATACATTCGGCCTATGTAACAAATTTTAAGTTTCAATCTAAACTTTAGGCTTCGCAACTTAGGTTCAGGGTCAGTAACCTAATATTAAGCTTAACAACTTACAGGTGGCCATGAAGCTAACATTTTAAACATAAAACGATACTAAATCCTCAATAAAATTCAAATTAAAATCATACCAGGATGATCCTTAACACCCCTCTCCACAATGTCAGCAATATATCTCATCGTCTGTTCGGTCTCGCCTAATTCGTAATGACATAAAGCTAATGAATAGGCCAAATCAGCTTGAAACCCATGAACTGAAGTGGCATTTTTAAACCGTTCAATTGCTTTGTCATAATCTCCAATTTTGTAATCAATACAGGCCAAGTTGACTTCTTGATCAGGGTCGTCATCATCGTACTGTTCTACTAGCAGTCTGGCCGTGTTCACATCGTCCTCTGTGTATTTTATAGCCGCTGCAAGCTTCAGAAGTTGCTGACTGATTTCTGGATTGTCTGCGTTCTAAAATATGGTGGGATAAGTTATGGTAGGTTACTGTATTTCTATTTTTTGGTTTTGAGTACGTGTATCAGTATGAGTACTAGTATGAGTACTAGCATGTGTACCAGTATGAGTACGAGTAGGAGCATGGGTATGAGTACGAGTATGAGTATGAGCATGAGCTAGGGCTCTGGGCTAGGGCTCTCGGCTAGGGCTCTGGCCTAGGGCTCTGGGATAGGCTCTGGGCTAGGATTTTGGGCTAGGTCTCTGAGATAGGGCTCTCGGCTATGGCTCTGGGCGAGAACTCTGGACTAGGGCTTTGGGCTAGGTCTCTGGGCTAGGGCTCTAATCTAGGAAACTTACGTCTTGAATCACAACTTCAGCTTCAGGGAACATAAAAGCATGGTACAGGCACTGGGCGTGGTACAACTTATATTCAGAGTGATCAGGGTAGAGCTCTGACAACTTCCCATATGCTTCAGCTGCCATCAAGAAGTCTTGGACATGATAGTAGCAATATCCTAGTAGTGATAAGGCTGCTCTACTCTGAAATGAAAAAATTTAAATTTAACTTCAAGTTAAGGTTATGACCCACAATAAAAAAAAGTTAACTCACATTAGGCATTCGTTGTAACTCGTACTGTAGTACTCTCATAGCATCAGCAAAGCGGTTGTCACGGATCTAAACTATTTTTTTTTGAAAGTCTATTGTAAAGAACGTTCTGGCTTTTTTTTGTGTTGTAAAGAAAGTTCTTGCCATTTTTTTTTGTAAAGAAAGTTCTTGCCATTTTTTGTTTTGTAAAGAAAGTTCTTGCCGTTATTGAGTTTGTAAAGAAAGTTCTTGCGATTTTTTGTTTTGTAAAGAAAGTTCTTGCCATTTTTTGTTTTGTAAAGAAAGTTCTTGCTATTTTTTGTTTTGTAAAGAAAGTTCTTGCCGTTATTGAGTTTGTAAAGAAAGTTCTTGCGATTTTTTGTTTTGTAAAGAAAGTTATTGCCATTTCTTGGCTTGTAAAGAAAGGTCATGCCATTTTTAATTTGTAGAGAAAGTTCTTGCCATTTTTGGGTTTGTAAAGAAAGTTCTTGCCATTTATGGCACTATAAAACCAATTTCCATTATTTTAAACAACATTTTCTACATAATTTTACCTTTTCGGACCTCTTTACTTACCATTCCATATATTGTACTTGTATATTCTCCATCTCTGATGGGTACAAACGCCATTTTTCGATTGAATATTATACTTAAAATGTAGAAAAAGATATTTTTTTACCTTTTAAAATTATTTTTCAATTCAAAAACTTGAATAAAAACAAGAAAAACAATGAAAACCGTTCGTTTTTCGACCAAATTCGCCGTTTCTTTTATGAAGCTCGGACCTTATTTTACGTTGCCATGCCAATGAAACCCAATTATCTTTATTGAAATAGCACTTTATAGCACAGAAAGACAATGGGGAAGCTATAGTTATCACTTTCGGTTTTAATTTTTATTGTAAAATACAAAAAAATTTTAAAAAAGGTCGAAAAAAACCCAAATTTATTGAAAAAATAGTGTTATTGTCCATATAATGCCAACATTTTTTATTACACATTTTCATTTGGTCGTAATTGTTATATTATTCATCCTTTCCGTTTGAAAACTCTTTGATTTCGTTCGGATCCACCTTTTTTTGTTTTGTTCGCCGGTTTTGAAACCACACTTTCACCTAAAAAAGAAACCAATCAGATATGAAAGAGCCGGAGAAGCGCGCATTGGTGGTTCAGTGGTAGAATGCTCGCCTGCCACGCGGGCGACCCGGGTTCGATTCCCGGCCAATGCAAATGCTTTTTTGCGGTTTTAGGGTTGTTTTTGGTATTGTAACTTGCGAATACAGTGTGAAAATTATTTTAAAATATGGGAAAATAATGTAAATTTTGTTCTGGCGTTGATTTTTATGTGTTTTGATATCAAAAGCTGCCAGAAAAGACAATGTAAAACATAAAAAGTGCCGATTTGCGGGTTTTAGGCTGTTTTTTCTCACTTTAATTAATTGATATATGCAGAAAACAATTTACAGTTCTTGGCAAAAGACATATTGTTTACTTTAGCATCATGTTGACATCAATTTTAATGTATTTACACTCAAAAACAACTCAAAAAGCATTTTTTTTGTGAAAAAGTCTCCCAAAAGCCGGTGTAATCTGATGACAAAACACATATTACCCATGACCGATTACCGTACCTGTGTTTCGTTAAGCCGCAACTTGTTTGCAATGGCTTTTCGCTCCACACTCGAGACATAATGACTAGATTTGAAGGCCTCCTCCAGCGCATCCAATTGGTATTGGGTGAAGGAAGTGCGGGTCCGCTTGTTTTTGTTCATCTGTTTGAAGATGACATTGCATAAACTGTCTGGAAATGGTTTACAAATTGAAGATAAGTGTCATAAATTATTTTTGTTATTAAAAAATTCCAAAACATTTTTAAAAGGTTACAGTATACCACTGAAAATCAAATTATACGATGGATCGTATTTTTAGTGTTGTAAAGAAAGCACTTGTCTTTTTTTGTAAAGAAAGTATTTGTTCTTTTTCTTCTTGTAAAGAAATTTATTGTCTTTTTACGGCTCTATAAACAAAAACAAGGTTTTCGCAGCCTGCGGGAGACAAGTTATACGATAGGTTGCGTTTTTTGTTATGTAAAGAACTTTCTTGCCATTTAACTTACTAATGTCATTTTCACCATCACGTTTACTATCAAAGCTGTCATATCGTTGCGAATTTGACAAGTGAGGATAAATTACATCAAAGAATGACATTGTTTGACAAATCGGTCCATTTGAAACTTTTCTTTTCAATACTGAAGTCGAAGCTTTGTCTTCCGGTGATAAGATATCAGCTATTCCGAACTTGGAGGTCATTTCTGAAAATTAAAAAAAATTTAAAACGTAAAAATTTAAGAACGAGTTAGTGATAGACAACGTGGTAATAAACAAGACAACATCTTATAAATACCTACAAACAGTGACATATCCCAGCGAACATGGATCAGAGGTGGGTAGAAGGATTGCAAATGGATGGTGTAAATTCCAAAAAGTGATATGGCTTATGCTTGAAAGAAGGACGCCACTAGTAATCAAAGCTAAATACTATAAAACCTGTGTTGAAACAGCATTAGTATATGATGCAAAAATATGGCGTGGACGAAGGCGGATAGAACCAAACTGAGTCGATGTCAAAAAAAGATTGAGAGAATTATACTGGAGTGGAGCTAAGATGGGGAATCAGAAGCAAGAGAATCAGAAATTGGACGAGATTGAACGAATTGGCAGAGATAGCCGTGAAAAGGAAGTGGAAATATGCCACTAAAGTCAAGAGAATGACAGAAGAGTGGCAAAAATTTTCTTTACAAGTCATAAAGTGGCAAGAACATTTTTTACAAAATAGAAATGCGATCTATCGTATAACTTGTCACCCGCAGGCTGCGAAAAACTTGTTTCAGTTAGCTTTAATACGGGAATAATGTTCTTTATCAAGAAATGGCAAGTACTTCCTTTACAGAATAGAAAACGGCAAGAACTTTCTTTACAGAACAAGAAATGGCAACAGCTTTCTTTACAAAGCAAGAAGTGGCAAGAAATTTCTCTAAAAAACAAAAAGTGACAAGAACTCTTTTAACAAACCAAAAAATGACAAGAACTTTCTTTACAAAACAAGAGGTGGCAAGAACTTTGTTTACAAAACAAAAAATGGCAAGAACTTTTATTACAAAACAGAAAATGCGATTTATCGTATAATTTTTTATCCGCAGGCTGCAAGAGAGCAAAAACATCAATTTTTAGCATTAAAAATAAGGTTTCTATAAAATTTTTTACCAAAACAAAAAAATTTTTAAAAAATTTTAGAATTTTTAAAACCAAGATCAAGTTCAGCTAATAGGCTTCATTTAGCGCACTTTGCTGACCTAAATTAATCTGCGCGATAAATCCTCTTGTTCAGGGCCAATTGGATGATGGCTTTACCTGTTTCGAGCAAAAAATGGGCGGATAAGTGGATCGAATTCGCATAACTCAAACAAATCCTCCAAAATATCACATTTCCATTTAAAGTTTTGGGAAATGATCTGTGGAAAGAAAGTTCTTGCCATTTTTTGATTTATAAAGAAAGTTCTTACCATTTTTGTTTTGTAAAGGAATTTTTTGCCGTTTTACGGCTTCATAAACAAAAAGGAAGTTTTTGCAGCCTGCGGGTGACAGGTTATACGATGAATCGTATTTTTTGGCTTGTAAAAAAAGTTCTTGCTAATTCACGTTTTGTAAAGAATATTCTTGCCATTTTTTGAGTTGTAAAGAAGTTATGGCCATTTGTTTAGATAATATTAACCTGTGTTTGTTTGCCTTCTAATGGCCCGGATATGGCCGGATGAGCGCGTAAAATTGACAATCGTTTTGGCGAGATCATGTTACCGGACGTAACATACGAACATTTACTCAAAATGCTCAAACTTTTAAGTGAAGATGCGTTTGACACAGCGGGATACTGTATATTGTTTTTTGAAAAAGTAGGGGGGATACGGTAGGGTTTTTAGACTATACTAAGTACTGTAGAAGATGGTCGAGTAGGGCAGGTTGGGTAGGGTAGGGTAGGGTAGGGTAGGGTAGGGTAGGGTAGAGTAGGGTAGGGTAGGGTAAGGTAGGGTAGGGTAAGGTAGGGTAGAGTAGGGCAGGGTAAATTGAAAAAAAAATTCAAAACAAAAATTTTAAAAAAGTAAAAGTTACTGTATGGATTACTGTACTTTTATGCGTTCAACATTTAAAAAATGTAAAAAAAATATTATGACATATTATTGTTGACCATTTGTAGGTGCAGGTCTAGCTGAGCATTTTCTGGGCCAAAGCCAAAGCGATAGCCTTGTCATCGTTGCTACATTTGGTAATAAGGTCATATTGGACGTCATTATGGTTGTGTTCGAATAATTGTGGGCTCAGACGGTCAGCCAAGTCGAATGGACAGGATCTGAAAGAACTTTGTTTATAAAGCCAAAAAAGTGGCAAAAACTTTCTTTACAAGAAAGAAAATGGCAAAAACTTTCTTTACGAAACTAAAAATGTCAAGAACTTTTTAAAACTCAAAAAAGTTAAAAAATTCGAAATATCAAACTTTGTAAAATTTGACGAAATGCCACAAATATTATTGGTTTTTTGACAGTGTCACAAAATTTATCGGTTTTTAAGAAAACTGGGTTTTTGATGAGCTAGCTTGTAAAAAAATCAAAGTTAGTTACAAAATGGTAAAAACTTTCTTTACAAACTTAGAAATGACAAGAACTTTCTTTACAAAACTAAAAATGGTAAAAACTTTGTTTGTAAAACAGAAAATGACCAGAACTTGCATTACCAAACTAAAAATTGCCCATAATGTTCAAAATTTAAAAAAAAGCAAGAACTTTCTTTCCAAAACTCACAATCCAGGGTAGAATTCACTGAGCAGGTACATTGAAACTCCAAAAACTTCCAAAAAGTCTTTGCCGTTTACTCCATTAATGATGCCAATGTCTTCACATGGGAAGGGGAAGTGGCTGAAATGTCAAATTTTCTTAGATCTTGGTGCTAAACATCAAAATTTTTAAAATTTTAAAGATTCCGAAATTTTAAAAAAAATTTTAAAAAATTTAAATTTCGAAAAAATTTCAAAAAATTTCAAAAACCCACGTTCCCTGACATCTAGTCTTCATCTGATCAGCCAGACTAGCCACGTGCTTGACTTGTCTCTTTCTTCTGGTACCATCTGGAATGGTCTCATTCTCCATTACAGTACCCCAACGAAGCCATACATTACCGGCGGCAATGATCATTTGGTTGTCAGTGGCTTCCTGACACTCGTCGATACCGTAGTTGATGAAGTCGATGACTTGGTAGATGTCAAAACCTTGTTTCGAGTTGATTTGAACTGACAAACGGTCTCCGAACTTGGCAAAGTAACAGGCCACGATCTTGGCGGCGTCTGGGCGGAGAGTGTCATTTCTGAATAAAAACTTTGACGATTTTCAAATTTTTAGGTATTCCTGGATAAAATAGTAGCTTCACTACCCAAAATAATAATTTTCATTACATTTTGACTAATAATAAAGTTAGTATTCGTAAAAAAATGGCAAAAGGTTTCCTCAAAATTTCAAGAATTTCAAAGCTTCTAAAAAATTTTTTGAGCTTTTAACAATATAAATTAAAAAATTAAACAGTAATTACGAAAAGGCATAAAAAGCTCTCTATACTACCCAACTTTCACATTTATATCTTAATTTATGAAAAAGTTATAACGATTTAAATATATAAAAAACCAAAAACTTCTGGTAAAAATCGATATTATAGAAACTTTTTCTCGAAATTTTTATTATAATTTTTTGTAAAATAAGACAAATGTTAGCAACGTTAGCCTTAAAAAGCATAAGAAGCTCTCTATGTTAGTAAATTTTCATATATATATCTTAAGAAAAGAAACAGTTATGACAATTTAAATCGTTTAAAACCCAAAAATTTCCGAAAAAATCAAACTTTTTACTGTTTTTTGAAATTTTACGTTTTTTTTGTAAAATACAGCAAAAATTAGTAACATGAGTTTCAGATAGCATAAAAATTAGAGTATATCTTCAAAGTTTCGTAGACATACCTTAACACATGGAAGAGTTGTGCCAATTTAAATAGTTTAAAAATCCGAGAATTTCCAAAAAAATCAAAAAATAAACTTTTTTTTTAAAAATTTTATGCTTTTTTTGTAAAATACGGTACGCTTTCCAATGCGCTTAGCATAATGTAAAGTATTTTTCAAAAAATTTTTAAACAGAAAACCATAAAACATTTTTTTGAAATTTTACGTTCTTTTCAAATAATGACAAAAGCTAGTCTTCTTAGTTTTAAAAAGTGTAAAAAGTAGTGTATATCTTCAAAGTTTCATGACCGTAACTCAAAATATGAAAGAGTTGTGACTGATTAAAAATGTCAAATACACGAAAATTTCTGAAAAGCACCAAAAATTCGGTGCCTTTTTGAAAAACACCTGTTTATAAAAAAATAAAATTTTTTTAAAAATTGAAATATACATCGTTTTATAAAGCATAAAAAGTAGTTTATATTCAATAAATTTCATGCTTATATCTTAATTTTAAAAAAAGCTATAATAATTTAAAAAAATTAAAATAATTTCAAAATTTTCAAAAAAAAAATTAAACTCACAAGTTCTTGATGAGCATGTCAGTCTGATTGAAGAACTCCTGATTAGTCTCTTGATCAACAAAGACTTGGTCGTCTGTGATGTATTCTGGAGGGTTGTCGGCCTTCAAAACGTGTGGCTTCTTCTGATCAGCCTTTAAGGCATTTGGCTTGGCGAAGCGATTTGGCTGTCGGACCAGTCCAGAAGCGACAGTGGCAATACAGAAGAAAATACAAAACTTGACAAACATTTTTGATTTGATGATATTGTGATATGAGATTGGGCTTATATAATGATAGCTTTTGAATCATAATTGAAGATGTTTTGGAAAATGCTTCATAATCTACGTGGGATTCTTAATAAAAATGTTGATTTTTGAAATTGAATGATTAATTTGGCCAAAAATTAAGATTAAACTTTTATTTTTCATGATATTAAGAATAAAAAAGCAGGCAATGTAGTCCCGGTTCGTCCTAGACTGGCTTTAAAATCGGGCCGGGCTGGCTAAGTTGAAACGGGCTTAAGTTGAAAAGCAAGGCAGGCTTAAAATATTAAAAAAATTTTAAAAAAATTTTTACATTAAAAAAATTTTTAAATTAAAAAATTTTTTTAAATTTTTTTGTGTACTACAGTCAATACCTAATCTAAAAGCCAATGCAAGCTCAAATTTTTTTGAAAATTTTTAAATTAAACGGGCCAAACCGAGTATAGCAATTTTTCGACCGGATCAGGCCAGTCTGATAACAAAAGAAAAATGGCCGGTTTAAACGATAGGCTTCGAGACAATGTCATATTAGGTCTACCTTTTAACCTTTTACCAAACTTAAATAACATTCAAGGATAATAAAAATTATAAATTTACCTTACAATATGATACACGACCTTTAAATGACCACCAAAGATAACAAACGTTTACAGAGTCTAAGGATCGGTGATAAAAGTACATGGATCCGGTTTCGATTTCATAGAAATCAGTTTTTTACTACGCTAAGGAACGATAAAGCCGAGAGTGTGTGATCAAAGATGTCGACAATGTGCTGTACAGACATTATGTACAATCTAAGTTTGTTTACAATCTTTTATCAGCACTTTAATTTTAAAGTACATGGCCCTAGTCTGGACTTCTGACCGGATCTGGAAAGTTTTTTTTAAAGTTTAAACTGATGACAAACTTGTATATATACTGTAAAACAAAGTCACTGTCCATCAAGCATTTGCTCAATTTTTCTCTGAGTACTGGTGTGTACTTCAGTACGCAATGCTCTACTATTTGTTGTTAATACTTTTGGTATTTACACAACTATTTTCAGACTAAACCATGAAGTTCACCGTAGCTTTGTTGTTCATCGTCGGACTGGCCGTAGCTGCCACTTTGCAAAAGCCAGAGGCTGGAAAGAAGCTTACTGTAGCCGAGGAGAAGCGTGAGTTCAAAACCGATGAGAAGCGTGAATTCAAAGCTGATGCCGAGCCAGTCTTATCACTACAATCAATCGCTGATCTGTTGAAGAACTTTAAATGGCGTAATGTGATTCCTTGCAACGAAACCTGCACCAACGGTGGGGATGTAGCCACATGTTGCCGCGCCCACGGATGGCGTGACGGAGTTTGCGACATTTACCATCGTGCCTTCTGCCGTTAATTTTTACAAAAATAGAGAAATAATTTTTAGTATTACGAAGTTTTTTCCTCTCTTCATGATTGTGTAACCCCATCATAACATAAGGTTTGGTTTTTCTTCAACTTTTTTTTTTTTAATTTTAAAATTTTATATTTAATTTTGTTAGTCAAATAATAAACTTTTTTTACTTATTTCGTTATTTATCACTCTTCAAACTTCTACAAGTAAAAATTTAGGAGGTATACATTAATTGTGTCCAGAGCCAAGCGCGACGCCTTTCCTATCTCCCCCCCCTTCCGACCTCCCCCCCCTCCTCCCCCCACAACAAAAATTTCAAAAAAAGTTGAACGTGGTCCCCCCTGTGGGTTTTCTTTTGTGCCGATTTTCACGACCCCCGCCCTCAGTCCAAAATTGTCTGCCCAGCCCTGGTTGTGCCATAGTTTTGCAACATACTGTGCTAATGTACAATGATATCTATGAAGGTCAATAAAGCTACATAGTCTCGTATTAGACGTGTTCAATGATTGGACCTATTGCCAGCGATTTTTTTTCACTGTTCCTCGGGTAGTTGTAAGCGAGGTATTACAGGTTAGTAAAAGGGTTGGGCTAGGCTCAATTGTTTGTCTCAGCTTACAGGCTGAGCCTTGAATTGGGCTCAGACCAAGTTCGGGGACTTTTGGTTTGGGGAGTCGAAAAAATTGGCATAGGAGCTACATGTGCCGATTTTTAGCAAAATTTTTTTTCCAAAAATCCACAGGGGGAATTACGTTCAACTTTTTTCAAAAATTTTTGTTTGGAAAAAGAATGCCCCCCCCGTTCATGTATTTTTTAAACCAAAGGTTTGGTTGCTACCAACAAGTGCAACTAACATAATATTAAATTGAACCAAAAGTAACGAGACACTTATCAATTAGTTTTTAATTAACAAAAACTGTCCCGCTACCTTTGATTCAACCTAATATAATTTAAACTAACTTTACATAAATCTTTAAGAATTACTTTTTAATATTTATTACTAAAACAAATTAAAGTTAATTATAAAGAAAAACTCAACGTAAAAACAAAGTAAAAGCATTACTGTAAAATCTGGCTGAAAAAAAAACTTCACAATTACAATCTCTAAAACAATATTAAAAATCAGAATTCAAGAGCATTTATAGAAGCAGATGTAATAAAACTATTCATCACAGAAGACTTGGTTGTTTTCGTTACAGTGTCCGCCTTTTGGGTAGCCATGAGCTTGACAGCAAGAGTAAGGATCTCCACCATTGGTACAGGTCTCCTCACAAAGTCGTATTGGTCTAAATTGAAGCTTGTTAACCAGATACTGGGCTTCTTTCAATGACAATGAAACTCGGACCGGCTCTTTAAGGTCACTTTGTTTTTTAGCCAGCTCTCTGAATTCACGGTGTTCTCCAGCAAATTCTTTAACTTCACGGTGATCACCAGCCAATTTTCTAACTTCACGACCTTGTCCAACGACTTCTCTCTCTCTGTCTGTCTTTTGCAAGCTTGCTGCACAGGCAATACCAACAACAAGCAATAGAGCTACAGTACACTTCATGTCTTGAAAAAGAGACAATTAATGAATGAACTAGTGAGTGATAAGAAACGATTCGGTATAGGTTTATATATTGAGCTTTTATCAGCTTCCAACTGGGTAGATCTGGCTTTCAACTAATTGTTGAGTAAATAATATTCACGTTTAACTATATTATCATATAACGATTTTTTTTTGTTTTCAAGTTACTGTATATTGAGATAAGAACATGCTGTTAGTAGCGCAGTGGCTGTGACGCCGCTCGCTATTTTGAAGGACCTTAGTCTGATTCCGCACCCCGCCCAACCCAGGCGCCTTAAGGAATGTGTAGTTCTGAGTGCACGGAGACTAGACAAATCTATACTTGGCCTACACGAGTATATGATTGAACGCCAGAAGTCTTATGGAACACCTCACATACGACTCCGTGACGCGAGGAACAGTGAAATACCTGGGAAGACCCCCAATTATAGTAAACGTCAGACTCAATGATAGCTCCGTTGGTCCTCATCTGAACCTTCAACATCCTTGCACATCAACACAGTACGTTACAATCTACGGCATCAAACTAGTAATCTAATCTATATCCGAATTGTAATTGTAGACGCTTGAAGAATGTAAAGTAAAGTATACAAACTCGGACCTACCGTACATTATTAACCTGATGTAGTATTAAGGAAACACAACCGGACATGCTTACTATTAAAAAACTAAGCTTGAAGTGCAATATAGTTTTTAAAAGTCAACGTATCCGGTTACGTTTCTTCGAAAATGTGTTTTCTTCATGATAACGTATGGCAATATGGTAGGTCCGGAACTGTGATAGCAAAAAGTCTGTTCTTATCTGAATATACAGTAACAAAAAACTTAGAAAAAACTAATTTTAATATTGATAAAGGTGAATATTTGCTTTATAATTAACTTAAAGCCGGACCTGCACAGTCGTAAGCTGATAAAATCTCAATATATAAACCTATACCAAACCGTTTCTCATCAGCAACCTGTTCATTCATCAATTGCCTCTATTCAAGCCATGAAGTGTACTGTAGCCCTACTACTTGTTGTTGGTATTGCCTGTGCAGCAAGCTTGCAAAAAACAGACAGAGAGAGGGAAGTCGTTGGACAAGGTCGTGAAGTTAGAGAATTGGCTGGAGAACACCGTGAAGTTAGAGAATTAGATGGCCAACGTCGGGAGCTTAAAGAGCCAGTCCAAGTTTCATTGTCGTTGAAAGAAGCCCAATATCTGGTTAGCAAGTTCCAATGGAGAAGAGTACCACCTTGTGATGAGACCTGTACCAACGGTGGAGATCCTTACTCTTGTTGTCAAGCTCATGGCATACCAAGAGGTGGACACTGTAACGAAAACAACCAAGTCTTCTGTGATGACTAATTTGGTTACATCTGCTTCTATAAATGCTCTTGAATTCTGATTTTTAATATTGTTTTAGAGATTGTAATTGTGAAGTTTTTTTCCTCAGCTAGGTTTCACTGTAATGCTTTTACTCTGTCGTTTAGTTGAGTTTTTCTTCATGTTTAACATTTTATTTTATATTATTAATAAATTATTAAAAAATTGATTTTAAAGTTTTGTATGGGTAAAATTAGAAAAAGGGGGGGGGGGGAGGCAATTTTTACAGGGTAAAATTTAATAATTGTTTTGAGCCTTGGGCTCACAACTGTTGTTATGGCTAGTCCCCTTTTTGGAGTTTGCTTTGCTCATTTAGGTGCATGAGAAACAAAGCACAGCATCTAAGTTCTAGGCTAAACATTATAATTCTACTAAGCTTAAGCCTACTCAGCCTAAGCATACTAAGCAAGAGTTTATTAAGCTTAAGTCTACTAAGCCTAAGCCTACTAAGCCTAAGCCTACTAAGCCTACTAAGCCTAAGCCAACTAAGCCTAAGCCAACTAAGCCTAAGCCTACTAAGCCTAAGCCTACTAAGCTTAAGCCTACTAAGCTTAAGCCTACTAAGCTTAAGCCTAAATCTACTAAGCCAATGCTTACTAAGCCTAAGCCTACTAAGCCTATGCCTACTAAGCCTAAGCCTACTAAGCCTAAGGCTACTAAGCTTAAGCCTACTAAGCCTAAGCATACTAAACCTAAGCCTAATATGTTTAAGCCTACTAAGCTTAAGCCTAAACCTACTAAGCCAATGCTTACTAAGCCTAATTCTACTAAACCTATGCCTACTAAGCTTAAATTTAAACTTAAGTCTAGGCTTAAACCCGACCAAGCCCATGCCTAAGCACTTTTGTGTTATACAAGGATCTCAAAGCATAGAATCTCACAGTACTATTATCAGTAAACTGATTTCTATTGTTTGAACCTAATAAATGTTCAAAGACTAAAACCTTTAATGGTTAAACTCGCACTTCAAAAATCATTACCTAGTTTTTGAAAGTTGCGACAGATAAGGTATGGTAAATAATATTTTGCTCTGACTCACTTCCTCTACACTAGCCAAGGCTTTTTGTTTATATTGCAGTTTTATCGGTTGGAATTGTGAAAAACGAGCCTGAGGGGGAACTTATCAAACATTTATAAACAAAGCATTTGTTATCAGTCAAAACAAAAATCATTAGTTTCCACAGACATTTGAGGTTTGATTGCTCACGGCGGTATTTTGGTTGGTTTTTGAGATTGTCTTTGAGGTTTGACTTATAGTATTACCAATTTTGTACTTGTTTTTGAAAGTATTACTTAATTTAGTACTAGTTTGATCCGTACTACCTAATTTTGTACTATTTTTAAATTTTTTTTGATATTTCAATACTTATAGGCCTTAGGCTTACCTATCTACTACAATATATCTATCCCTAACTTATCTCTTCTATCCCTAACTTTTAATTGTTACAGTATTTTTTCTACAGTACCCCACTAACCTTTTCTCCGCTAATTAAGTACCAACAGCACTAACAAACCGTTTAAATCCATTCTAAATTTCAAAAATTCAAATTTTATTACCTAAAATGACATCAAAGTTGTCCTACTTCCTACTACTCTTACTTTTGTCTACAGTACTATTGGATACTGTAGAATGTAGAAAGAAGAAAAAAGACAAGAATAAGAGCCGCCAATTGCCTGAGGAAAAAGAAGATGAAGGTAGGAAAATTAGCGTTAACCTTAATATGCCATTCATTGACATTTCTATCATTTCAGAAGCTCGACGTGCACATCTGACTGGTATGTTAATATTGTTATTAGTTTATTTGAACTAGGATTAGGGCAGGGTAAGACAAGAACAAGGCAAGGCAAGGTTCTGCAAGGCACGGCAGGGCAAGAAACAAGCCTAGGCAAAGGCTAAAAGCTGGGTTTAAGGTTAGAACTAGGGCTCTGGGCTAAGGAGCTGGGCTAGGGCTCTGGGCTAGGGCTCTGGGCTAGGGCTCTGGGCTAGGGCTCTGGGCTAGGGCTCTGGGCTAGGGCTCTGGGCTAGGGCTCTGGGCTAGGGCTCTGGGCTAGGGCTCTGGGCTAGGGCTCTGGGCTAGGGCTCTGGGCTAGGGCTCTGGGCTAGGGCTCTGGGCTAGGGCTCTGGGCTAGGGCTCTGGGCTAGGGCTCTGGGCTAGGGCTAGGGCTATCTAGGGTTTTACAAAGCTATAATAATGCCATTTTCATTGTAGTAAACGTAGACATGGACCAAAAAGACGACGATGACAGTAGCAGTGATGACGATGATGACAAGAAAGACAAAAAGCCAGAAACTTCTAGTCCGCTAACAAAAGTTGACCCATCTAATGACAAAGTTTATCAAGTAGGACCAGACAATAGTGTTGTTGGTACTAAAAGTAGAAAAAGAAGAAGTCATGGAGTAAGTTAAAAAATATTTTTGAAAAAAATTTTTAAATTTTTTAAAATTTTAAAAATTAAAAAAAAATTTTTAGGCCAAGCACATTCCGGTATATCATGTTCATCCAGACTCACAAACTGCTATTCCTGTAAATATTCTACGGCACCGCCGTTTCTCTGGCACGAACGACTGGATTTACAATGTTCTTTGAAATTTCATGCTTAAATCAGATAATAAATATTGTACAAATCTTAAAATTTTTTTAAAAACATTTTTGAATATATCTTAATTTACTTAAGCCTAGTGTAATAAAACCTTAATTAATTAAAATTGTAGTTTCAATAAACTTGGTAAATGTAGGCTTGATACGCGTCGGTTTAGTAAACTTAAATTTTGTAGGCTTTAGCTTAGATGGCTTACCTAGTAAGTTTAAATTTTATAAACTTAAGCTTAGTAGGCTTAATTGGCTTAAGCTTACTAAACAAAGTGCAATAGGCTTAGGCTTAATAGACTTAATCTTAGTAAGTTCAGGTTTAGTAAGCTTAGGCTTAGTAGGCTTAGGCTTAATAAGCTTAGGCTTAGTAGGCTTACGCTTAGTAGGCTTAGGCTTAGTAGGCTTAGGCTTAATAAGTTTAGACTTAGTAGGCTTAAGCTTAGGCCTAGTAGGCTTAGGCCTAGTAGGCTTACGCTTGGTAGGCTTAGGCTTAGTAGGCTTAGGCTTGGTAGGCTTAGGCTTAGTAGGCTTATCTTAGTAGGCTTAGGCGTAGTAGGCTTAAGTTTAGCAAGCTTAGGCTTAGTAGCCTTAGGCTTAGTAAGCTTAGGCTTAGTAGGCTTAGGTTTAATAAGCTTAAGCTTAGTAGGCTTAGGCTTAGGCCTAGTAGGCTTAGGCGTAGTAGGCTTAAGTTTAGCAAGCTTAGGCTTAGTAGGCTTAGGCTTAGTAGGCTCAGTCTTAGAAAGCGTAGAGTTAGTAAACTTTTTTTTTTTTGCGTTTATTTTTTATTTAAAAAGGCGCAGAATTAAGTGAACAACCTAATATAAAACTAAGTGTCGCATCTTAATCGCGACAACCATGCCATTCCCTAATTGTCTCTCCCAAGCCCTACTAATAAGCGAAGAGAAAGTTTTAGATAGTAAAAACCATCTTCCTTCCCTTCGTTTACCTTTTTCAGGATGATCGCCTGCGGGGCTTTTTGCGAAAAGATATTTGACGACTTTGGCATTTCCTGAGGCGCTGTTTCAAGTGATTCATGGGAAGGAGTCGCGTGTTTCAAAAGAGAAAGACGGTTTTTGAGAAGGGCGCGGTAAAACGCGCTAAATGTTTTTTTTTGTTTTAGTGGAGGGGGGGGGGAACGAGGGAAGGTAAATAAAAGTAATATGTTGAATGGGGGGGGGATTCAGAAGTAAAATGTTTAAAGAAGGAGAGGGGGGGGGGTTAAAAATGTTTTTAGAAAGGGTATGGCAGAAAAAAGTAATGCAAGATAAGAAAAGAAATAGCATAATAAGACTAGTACAGATCATGATGCTGCTAGAACAGGGCGTGGTAAATTTACAATTGGATATGGTACGGCTTACATGTTAGACAAGGCGTGCTGAAGCTTACTAAGAATAAGGTGCGCTATGGCAAGGCTTGCAGATGTAGTATAGAACGTGATTTTTGTTAACGTTGAGCTTAGTAATGCCATGATAGGGCATTGTGATGCTTAGGTATGGCTTAATAATGATACAGCAGAGCTTGGTAATGATAAGGCAAGACAAAACGTGACAATTCATGGTGGTAGGGTAGAGTAGGTAGGGCAGGTCAGGGCAGGGCAGGGCAGGGCAAGGCAGGGCAGGGCAGGGCAGGGCAGGGCAGGGCAGGGCAGGGCAGGGCAGGGCAGGGCAGGGCAGGGCAGGGCAGGGCAGGGCAGGGCAGGGCAGGGCAGGGCAGGCTACTTTAAAACATTTTATCTTGTAAAGAAAGTTTCCTCGCCCCGTATTTCTGACCCACATTTCGTTAAAGTTCAAGTCATTTTTTGTGACAATAAAACGGCAGGTCAATGTCGTATAATTCGCCTGTGGCGGTGATTTCGTAAATGACCTTTTCCGCTCAACCAAGATAAAACTAACTTGATTTCACGCGGTTGACGTCAGTTTTGGTATGTTATATTAACGACACCGTTTCTTGATTTTTAAAAATTCGCGGCATTTTCGAACAATTTTTAAATTTTGGTAGTGGAAACAAAGTTTTTGCGGTTTTTTGATTTGGAAAGAAAGTTTTTGCCATTTTATGTCATGTAAAGAAAGTTTTTACCATTTATTGTCTTGTAAAGAAAGTTCCTGCCATTTTAGGTTGTTTAAGTAAGTTTGAAATTTTTGTTTTGTAAAGAAAGTTTTTGCTATTTTTTGTATTGTAAATAAAGTTATTGCCAGTTTTCGATCATAAAATTAAAATTCAACGTTCTGCAGGCTGCGAGCGACATTTTATACGATAGAAGTAACTGCTGTTTTGTAAAGAAAGTTCTTGCTATTGTTTGCTTTGTAAAGAAAGTTCTTGCCATTTATTGTCTTGTAAAGAAAGTTCCTGCCATTTTTGATCTGTGAAGAAAGTTCTTGCCATTTTTTGTTTTGTAAAGAAAGTTCTTGCCATTTTCTGTTTTGTAAAGAAAGTTCTTGCCATTTCATGTTTTGTAAAGAAAGTTTTTGCCATTCCAAAACTCACTTTCCAAAATTACCTTCAATTCTCTAAAAATTACGTGCCCGCAGGCGATTTGTTTCGAAGCTCGCCTAATTTATTAGTGCCCTCGATTTGCCTCCAAAAAGTACCTAATTTCGGTCGAGAGTAGCGGATTCCGATCGAATTCCCGGAGGCACAATAATATAATTTCCTTAAGCCTTCGCTTTTTGTTATTTTTACTTCTTCCGACTTTTGTAGTCGCACGAAATGGAACGTTTTCGAGTACAATTAGAGGGTTGGGAAGGCGAGTTTAGAGAGCTTTGAGAAAGTAAAGGTTCAGGAGAGAATTGGAGCGACTTTCGAAAGTAAAAACGATTGTAAAATACGAAAATCTGGGCGAAGCAGGTTAGGATATGGTAGAGTAAGGTGGGTAGATTAGTTCTTTTTTACATTGTTTTATAAAATGCATTTCAAATTTTAAAAATTATGTTTTATAATAATTAGGGGGAAGGATTAAATTTCGTGCAGTATGATCTAATATGCTGATATAACTAGATAGCCTTAGAGAAATTGCAAGAAACCGTATTACGCAACTTTTTCTTATGTAATTTTACAGTTTTATATAACATTTGCCTCGATGTAAAACGACCCAACAAATTACTGCGAGTCCTCGGATCTTACCCTGTATTTCCTCGAGGATTCACTATTTATCATTTCTAAATTTTTAAAGCTAAGCCAGGGGTTAAGGCTAAGCCTAAGACTAAGCCAAAGATTAATCCTGAGCCTAAGCCTAAGCCAAATCCTGAGCTTAAGCCTAATCCAAAGCCTAAGCCTAAGCCTAAGCATAAGCCTAAGCCTAAGCCTAAACCTAAGCCTAAGCCCAAGACTAAGGCTAAAGCTAAAACTCGTTTACCAAGACCTTTACTAAACTTTCCTTGACATAAGGCCACACCCACTACAATTGCTAATAGAGCCTAAACCGATAAAGCACACGCTCATTAAAAAAAGTCATTTACAGTTGAATATCTGTGAAAAACCAGGATAAAATTATGAAACTTTCAGAGAGTTCAAATTGAATATATCCAGCTGTTTTGTAAAGTTTCGTTTTGTATCCTTTAATGTATCCGAAGATATTCAATATATATTACTCTGAATTCTCGCCGATAAACTCTGTATGAAACCTTTACGCGTTCGACCGATAAACGTTACAAAGTTATTCGACCGATAATCGAATAAGTTTGTTACATTTTCATTGGATATGTATATCGTATTTTAGTAATTGGTTTAGGGTGGGGTGTCTAGAAGTAGAGCAAAGCATGATAAATCTAATATTGTAAGTCATCGTTGAGTTTTGGTATCGAGAAGGAGTAGGACAGAATTTGTTTTGAGAGCAGGGTAAGGTAATGCAGAGTAGAGTAGGGTAAATTACGGTGGAATGTGAAAATAACATCTAGTGGTAGTAGAGCAGGCTTTTCTTGAATAACATTAGGACGGGTTAATGCTACGGATACGAAATAGCAAAAAAAGTCAAGGTTAGGGAGTTGGATTGTGGTAAGGATAGGGTAGACTAGAGCTAGGATAGGACTAAAGCTGTACAGTAGAGTAGGCTAAGATAGGGTAAGGTAGGGTAGGGTAGGGCAGAATAGGGTAGGGTGGGTAGGGTAGAGTGGGTAGGGTAGAGTGGGGTAGGGTAGGGTGGGGTAAGGTATGGTAGGGTAAGGTAGGGTAGGATAAGCGTCAAATAGCGCGGTCTTTCTCGAGTTAAAATTTTTTTTAAATTTCAATTTTTCCAAATTAAAAAACATTTTTAGATCATGTTACAAAGGATACCATTTCTATTAATACTATGCACAGCATCTTCTATGAAGATGCCCAAATGCACTCACAATGCTTATATTAGAACGATAGCTGACCTGGACGCTGGAAAAGGTTTGGGAGAGCCGGTTGGACAAGCTGAAGTGGGCAATAACGTTGTTCATCGATGGCATTGTGATGGGGATGGTAAGTCTAAATTTGATTTTTGAAATGTAAAATTGAAAGAACTTTGTTTATAATCTAAAAAATAACAAGAATTTGTAACAATAAAATTTGATTTTTTAGTTTTGACGAATTTCCACAAAAATTATCGGTTTTTAGACGAAGTGTCACAAAAATTATTGATTTTTTGAAAATTATATATTCAGCTAAAAAATTACACAGAAAAAGCTAATTTCATAAAAAAATAGTAAAAAATTCTTGTACAAAACAAAAAATTGCAATAACTTTCTTTACAAAACAAAAATGGCAAGAACATTCTTCACCAAACAAAAAGCGGCAATAACTTTCTTTACAAAACCTAAAATAGCAATAATTTTTAAAGCATCATAAATTTAATATATCTTAACAAAGTGTCACACACATTATTGGTTTTTGACGAAGTGTCACAAAAGTTATTGATTTTTTAACGAAATGTCACAAAAACTATTGATTTAGTAAAACTGTGTTTATAGGCCTAAAAATGAGTTTAAAATGATTAAAAGCTTTTCTTTAATGAAAAATGGCAGTAACTTTCATTCCAACCACTATTTTCAGACATTGATGGAGTATTCTTCCGAAACTGCTACGTGAGTGACGGTGAGATTCATCTAGCTGACGTAGTAGATCAACACGGTTGTTCGATGGATCCTCTACTGATAGCTGACATCAGAAGGTCGTCTGATCAAAAAACTACCTACATGGAAGCTGCTACCTTCAAATTCGCTGGTACTACTGAGCTATGGTATCTTTGTGAAGCTCAAACTTGTAACAATGGTGTCTGTGGGGATGTTGTGGTAGGTTTGAAAGAACTTTGATTACAGAACAAGAAATAGCAAGAACTTTCTTCACAAAACAAAAAATGGCAAGAACTTTCTTTACAAAACGTAAAATGGCAAGAACTTTCTTTACAAAACAAAAAACGATAAAGACTACTGTATTTCAGCCAATGACCTCCTGCTACAGTACTCTTCCATTAGAAAAAGAACAAGCCTTATCAGTGCCTTCAGAATCCCTGCCTCAACCAGCTCCAACTCCAGATATGGATGCTGAAATCGATGCCATAATGAAGGCGCGTAACGGCTCTTACCAGCCGGCTTTCATTGTCTCTGGTCGAATTACAGTACCCGGCTCTAAGCATGGTCATGCTGGCTTGGGGGCTATTTTAAAGGCTAACAAGGAGCAGAATGAAGATGGTGACAGTAGTCAGAGTACGGTGGGAACTAACAAAGATGCTGTAGGGAATGGAAATGACAGTAAATCGACTGGTAAGAGATTTATCGACTGGGTAGGGTCGTTCAGGGTAGTGTAGTAGAGGTGAGGATAAGGTAGGGTACAGTAGGGCAGAATAAGGCAGGGAAAGATATAGAAATGACATTTTCTGACTATATCAACCAAAAAATCCCCTTTCAGACCCAAAACCGACAGAAAAATCAACCTCAAATCCAGCCCAAAACGAAAAACTAGAGAACACAGACATCGATGATGAAAAAATGGAGCACATGACGTATGGTCGACCTCTCTCTGGTACCGCTTTGGTCATGTTAATCATAGGATTAGGTGTTCTACTCGTTTTATCCGCATCAGCAGCCTTTATCTTGTTGTACAGAAAGTTCGAACGTGTTTTACATTGTGGGAATCACAAGCCAGAATATCCTATGTAACCTCAAAAATGTGTTTAGATAACGATTGATGTATTTAAATGTATAATATTTTGTTTAAAGTTCTATTAATAAAGGTTTTAATTAAAATTGGCTTTGAATGTTTGATGTCAAGTGTAATATCGTTCATTCACAACTTGTTTTGATTCAAATTCAATCGATCTTTGACTTATTAGACAAGAAATAATTATACACAACTCATTAGTAACCCAAAAGACTGTTAAAACCTCAAAAGACATCAAAAAAACAAAATTGATATTACACTAAGCACCAGTTGATGCACAACTTCAAAAACCCTTGTAAATAAAGTTTTATGAACTAAAACTAAAGTAAGTTCATAAATAAAGTTTATCCAATGTTTTTAATATCTAAAAATACTAATTTTAGCCTGATATTATGTTAGCAATACCTTCCAGGCATCAAAAGTTAGAGATACCGCCAAAATTCCGATCAAAATTCGTAAAAGAAATCCCTGAAAACCAGCAAAAACAATGCCAAATGTCAAAAAAACAACGTACCTGATGTGTAGATTAGATGAACATGTTCCTTTGTTGCCATATTTGCTCATCCGTCCCTGATCTTCAAGACAAAATTCAAGAAAATTCCAAAGGAAACGACGAAGTGTCAAAAATTGATCCGAAAAATCAAGAAAAGTTCGGACCGTCGCCCTGCTGTTTCCGACCAATTTCAGGACTGTCAAGTGAGTTTACCACACGCCAAATGTTCGTGATCATCACCTCCACAAGATAAGTAAGTACTTTTAGTGTTGCTGGCACTTTTTCCTTTGATTTTTAGGTATTTCGTCGTGGTTTCGGGCGGAAAATCTTGTTCAGTTTGATGGCTTCTGGAGTTTTGTAGTTTGAAAGGCGTTTCTATTATCCTATGAAGCTAAAGTTAACGTTTTTTAATAGGAAAAATATTGTTTTAAGTTTATTTATGAATTTACTTTAGTTTTGGTTTTGAAAAATTGATTTACAAAGAATTTCTAGAGTTATACCTAAACTTATCTCTAGTGTAATATCCACTGTGTTTTTTTGGTATTCTTTGTTGTTTTAGCAGCTTTATTTGTTAATAATAAGCTGTTTATGATTATATTTTGTCTAATGAGTAAAATGTCGATTGGGTTTTATTTAAAATAAGTTTCGAGTCAACGATATTACACTTGACATCGAAATTTTTGTGAAATATTCTACATTTCTTTAGTATTCCTTCAATTTTTGAAGTTTTTTTAGTGTTTTTATGATAATTTATTGTTATTATGTTTTATTTATTATTTTATTATTTGGAAAAGGCTATGTTTTGGTCGAAGAAGGACGTGCAATGGAAGGTTAAACTTGAAGGTATTGGTTTTGCGTGAAATTTTTGGTTTATTTAAAGTGTTTTTAGGTAATATTTTGAGGCCTGTCGAGATTTTAGGTTTGTTTGAAGTGATTTAATGTTTTTAGACGTTTTAGATAGATTTGATGGAATTTCAAGTTACTAAAGGTAGTTTGTTGTCATTTTGTGTTATTATAGGTAAATTGCAAGTCATTTCTTCACCAACCATTCGATCTTCGAGGTATGTCAATAAAAGTAGGTGTAGCATATTTTAATTTTCACCTGAAGAGAATTGGTAAGCACTTTGTGGTACTGACTATTTGGGACGTTAGTTAAAAAAGACGGTCTTTTCTTCGAAATTTGCGACGTAAACTATAAGTAATGTCTGTTTTGAGCCACGTATATATGAGAAAAAGGTGTGACAGTTAAAATATGTGACATGTGATAACATGTTGTGATGTTTTGTTTGTTGATACTGAGATTAGTGGATGGTGAGGTTAGAGAAAGGTTAGGCAAGGTATATTATAATTAGGGTTGGAGAAGGGCTTAAGCTAGAGCTTCTAGGCTTGGGTTTCTAGGCTTGGTTTTCTAGGCTTGGGCTTCTAGGATTAGGCTTCGAGGCTTAGGCTTCTAGGCTTAAGCTTAGGCTTCTAGGCTTAAACTTCTAGACTTCTAGGCTTAGGCTTCTAGGCTTAGGCTTCTAGGCTTAGGCTTCTAAGCTTAGGCTTCTAGGCTTAGGCTTCTAGGCTTAGGCTTCTAGGCTTAGGCTTCTAGGCTTAGGCTTCTAGTATTAGGCTTCAAGGCTTAGACTCAGGTTTAGGCATAAGCTCAGGCTTAAATTTTCAAGCCTTGATATAAGCTTAATCTCATGCTTAGGCCGAAGCCCATGCTTAGGGTTAGGCTTAATTTCATAGCGTTCAACTAGAGCTCAGGAACCTGTGGGCAGGGCTATGTGATGTATCTCAAGCAGTACGTTTTGAAGTATAAAACTATATACAATATGTATTTTGTACATTTTTGGGTTATACGATGATATTTTGTAGTATACTATCCATGACATACCATACAACTACAAAAATATTTTTGTATTTTGACAAAAACATGCCTTATGTTTCTAAATGATGAAACAGTAACATTTGTATCTATTTCTTTTTGTTTTTCATAACACTGTGCATCATACCTCCATAATTTCGATTGTATTTTACCATTTGAAATTCTAATCGTATCTTCGTTACATTTGTACTCAACTACCCGTTTTAACTACAATAATATCATAAATCAATAGCCCAGTTTTACATGCCGATTCCGGTGCTATAACATAATGTAAATGCGATACGATGGGAGTGCTGATGGATCAAAGTGAACTACCATCACCTACTCTAATATACTACTATAAAATTTACGAAAATGTGGCAATTTCGATAACCTTCTTCATGGTTGTCATCACATTGGCTGTCATGTTTTTATGTAGGTTTTGAAGGGTCAGAGACCAAATTTTAATAATTTTTACTTAACGATACATGGGGGAATATGTCAATGAATACAGAAACATCTGTAGTCAAAATTTTAAAGTCCAAGTGCACAAGTTACATATAGATTTTCTTATGACATTAGTTTTATTTGAAATTGTAACGTCATGACGGCCAACTATTATAGAAATTTTGAAAGGAGGACTGATTCACAAAAAAGTCGGATAGAATAGGACTTATTGTGAGGTATGCTAGGATGACTGTGGAATAAGGTAAGGTGTGGTACAGGGGCGTCGCTACGGATTTTTTCTGGGGGGTGGAGACCCAAAAAAATTTTTTTCGTCCACAGGTAGCTAGCTACCTGTGGACCGATTTTTTCATTTTTCAAAAAAATTGTTTTTTCGATTTTTAACTTTTAAAATTACATAAAATTACATTTTCGATTTTTAACTTTTAAAATTACGACTTCTTAAATTTACATTGCCATTTCAAAATTATTTTTTTAGCAAGAACTCGAGCTATAACACGGTATCGTTGGTACTTAATCCACGAGCTGTTGTGGTAAGCAAAACGTTTTTACTGTATCCAAACTTAAATAATGACTAAAAATTACCTTGACATGTTTTACCTCCTTCCAGGTCCCTATTCTTCGACGGTATGGGTAGTCTTATTGGTGCTGTCACTTTATTCCCACTGCCTTGTTACTACGGTGTTAATTTGTCAAGCACGTTCACTGGCACTCAACAGACAGTTTACTTTTTCATAGGCATTAACTCGCTAGTTGGCAAAGCATTTTCATTAATATACCAGTTGGAATACCGATTGGTACAGACTTTACCGTCTGACAACACATTTCGGGTTTTGTCGACTTCTTTATACGGTAGAAAGGAGCTGGTTGTTAGGCCGCTGATCATGGTCGCTTGTAGCGTTTTGCTTTTTGTGAGTTTGTTTTTCAGAAGGGTAGGGTACGGCTAGAGAGCTATGGTTCTATTTAAAATAAGGTTGGGGGGGGGGTGAGCAGTACTGCAGGAGCAAAGATGAGGTCAACGGTAAGGTTTCCTATAAGCTATTCGGTATTATTTTGAGTAGGACATATGCCAGCAAATACGGTAGGACCTAAGGTAGGGTAGTGTAGGGTATAGTAGGGTAAGGTAGGGTAGAATAGGTAGGGTAGGGTAGGGTACGGTACGGTAGGGTAGGGTCGAGTAGGATACGGTTGGGTAGGGTAGGGTACGGTAGTATAGGGTAAGGGAGAGTAGAGTACGGTATGGTACGGTGCGGTACATTAGAGTAGAGTAAAATAGGGTACGGTAGAATAGGGAAGGGTACGATAGGGTACGGTAGAGTAGGGTTGGGTATCATGTGGTAGATTAAGTAATTTTTTACTTAAAAAGTTACAGGAATTCTATTTCAGACGCCATTCGTTTTAAGCTTTCCCGACCAAAAGCAGCAGCGTGACTACCTCTCTTCACTAGACCCAGTAGTAGCTCAAATCTTCATAGACCATCCTAGTGTAATATGTTTTGCTCGTGGTACGGAAGTAACCAAGGTGCTACTAATAGCGTTCATAGCCGTATCTTTGCTTCCATTACTTGGTGTCTTTGCTTTTTGGGTTATGTACCGGGCGATTCAGCGGAGTCGCAACTCTGCCAACACTTATCGACTGCAAATGATGCTCTTTTGGTCGTTGATGGCCCAAGAAGGTTCCGTGATGATGTTAATGGTATTCCCTGGCATGGTATACCTTGGCGGGTCTATCTTTGGACTACGCAACATGCCTACAATATCTGTTGTTTGTTTCTTCTTCTTTCTTATCCATACTCCAATCGACTGTTTGATGATACTGTACTTTATTAAGCCTTATCGACAGTTTTTGTACAATCATATACCCTTCCTACGGAATTATACTACGAGTGCGTATGAGAATTATAGCACAACAACGGCTGTTACCAGAAGGAAATCCTCGTTTTATCCGATTGGAAAGCGCATTAGTCCTATGGCTATGTATCCTCCAAAGGTTTGAACTATAGTATTAGACTGTTCAAAAAATACTGTGCCCTTTATCAATTATTAATTTGTTCAAATAAATTTGTGCCAATTTTCAAAGCAAATTTTCGGGCTAAGGGCTCAGATTTATTTGAACAACCTAATCATTTTTGATATTGTAGGAAATGATGATTATTAATAAAGTTTTGAAAGTTCAAAACAAGGAAGTAAGCTGCTAAAGTTATGAATAACTTCGATATTTTTGACATATATAACTTATGTTTGGCTAATGCTACTAATAAAGAATTCTTACCTAAGGATATTATAAATTTAAAGTTTTAAAAAATAGGTTTAAAACTAAAAATAAGCTTACAAAGCATATGTCTATTGAGCTTAAGCCTACTAAACTCTTGTTAAGCATAAGAATACAAATTTAAAAATTACTGATTGTGAGAGTAAGCTTGCTAAGCCTAATCTTACTAAACCTAAGCCTACAAAAGCTATGCTTACTAAACCTAAGTCTAAGCCAACTAAGTTTGAGCCTACTAAGCTTAAACTTATTAAGCTTAAGTTTAGTAACCCTAAGCATACTATGCTTACGTTTACTAAGCTTAAGCCTACGCTTACTACGTCTAAGCCTTTTGCGCTTACTAAGTCTAAACTTACAAAGCTTCAGACTATTAAATCAAAGTCTACTAAGCCTAAACCTACTGTGTCTAATACTAAGCCTATTTTTTCTAAGCCTTACATTATACGATAATATAAAGCTTAGAAAACCTAAACTAATGTCCGGTAATTGTGCATCTGCAAAAGATGATTTAAGTTTTGTGCTGTGTGACTCAATTTGTCTGATATAAAACTAAATAGCCCTAGAGAAATTGAAAAAAATTGAGTTGCGTAACTTTTCTTATGTAATTTTATTGTTTTATGTAATACTTTCCTCGATGTAAAACGACCCAACAAATTACTGCGAGCGCTGGGAGCTTACTCTGTATTTTCTTGAGGTATCACTTATAATCAAATTCAAATCTTTATAAAATTGTTTTGCAAGCCTACGAAGGTTAAGCTTACTAAGCCTAAAAATTTATTAGTCCAATCTTGTGCTAAGCTTACTAAGTCTACAAATTTAAAACCAAAAATATTTTTTATCTAACCACTCTTCCATCTCCAAACGTTCCGTGCTCTCTCACTTTTTGCCTCAAACGTTCGATTTCGAAAACGCGGCTTCTGGTTTGTCTCTCCCGCTAAACGACGATTGATACCCGTTCCTCCTCACCATTCCGCCGATTACGATCTTAAACACCCATTGGCGGCTTCTGGTTGCGGCTTCAACTCTTCAACGTCGCTTCGTCGTTTTTTTGTCTTTTTTTGCTTGGAATTAAAGTTTTGGTAAAAAAATTAGTAATCTGGTGGAAGATTGGCTTGTGGCTTTAAAATTTCAATTTAAAGACTTATTAGACAGATATAAGGGGGGGGGCGGGTTAGTTATAAACCCAAGGTTAAGATGGAAAAGAGGGTTATAATATAATATATGTCATTGTAGTGTAAGATATGGTAGTCTAGGGTAGTGTAAAGTAAGGCAGGACAAGTTAAGGCAAGGCAAAACAGGGTAGGGACGGATAGGGTAAAGCAGGATAGTAGGGTAAAGGAAGGTGAGGTAGAGTAACATACGGTAGAGTAGGGTAGGGTAAGGAAAAGTAGGGTAGGGTAAGATACGGTACGTTAGGGTAGGGTAAGGAAGAGGAGGGTAGGGTAAGATACGGTAAGGTAGGGTAGGGTAGGGAAAGGTAGGGTAGGGTGGGGTAGGGTAGGGTAGGGTAAAATAGGGTAGGGTAGGGTAAAGTAGACTTTTTATTTTTTTCAATTTTTGCCCAAAAACCGAAAAATTTTCAATTTCACGCCAATTGATGACACACCCGCTGTCAGATGCGCCAACCATCGATAAGGGCGACAAAACAACGTCGTCGTCTTTCCGACTCGACAAACCGCTCTTCTTCCACACGACAACGCTTGAAACGGTCGTTATTGAGGAAAAACGATGATGATGGCCTTGAGGTGAGAGATAACGGACTCAGCCTCCTCCAACTTTTAGTTTCGCTCGAATGTTGAGTTACGCAATTACTGTTTTTGGGGCTTGCGGTAGGGTTTTTTGAGTTGTACAGTATGTTTATGGTACGGTATGTGTATATGCTGAATTTGTTTTATGCGGAAGGTAGAGTAATGTAAGGGAGGACTTACTGGAACGTACTTACTTTTAGGATTAGTTATAGGTTGGGTTTGAAATTGAGCCATCGTTTAACTTTAGGCTTAGGCTTAGCCTTGGACTTGGGCTGTGGCTTAGGCTTAGCTATTTCTTTAGTCTCAGGCTTAGCACTACTCTTAGCTTTTGACTTAGACTAGGCTTAAGCTTGATCTGAGGTCTAAAAACCTAGGGCCAGGCTCTTAAGGTTAGGCTCAAAGTGGGTGTATCACATTACTTTTCTTAATTTTTTTTTATTAAATGTAACCTGTTAGAATGAGGTTAACGACCACTAATTTAAATACCCGAAAACTGACGTTATAATGAGGTTAAGCCTAAAAAAGTGCTTAAATGACCTTAAACCAAAAAAAAACCGTATCTTTTTTTAAAATTTAAAATCTTTGAAATATGAAAATTAATTTCGTTTTATGTTATTTCAAAAACGGCTAGCCGTTTAACGTTTTTGGTGGTTTTATCGGCGGCCAATCAGCGGCGCGCTAGTCAATGGCGCCATGGGTTTCACGATGATTAATCGGTTTTTGTTGTTTTTTTGTCGACCAACATGTAATTTTATATTATGATAGACATGCTAATGGATGTCGAGCTCAAAAACGTTTTTTTTTATTTTAGGCCTGGGTAGGGTAGGGTAGAGTTGAATAGAGAGAAGTAGGGTAGTGTAGAAAAGTGAAGCTATGGTAGGGTACGATTGAGTAAAACAGGAAAAGACAAGAGAAGGCGTGTCAGTAAAGGCAAGGATAGCAGCGCAGGGCTAAGAAGGACCAGGCTTGACAGTACATGGCAAAGCAGAGTAGATCAGGTCAGATTAAAACTAAATAGGGCAGGGCTTGGAACTATAGGGAAGGGCAGTACAAAGCAATGCAAGGCAAGGCCAAGAGCAAGGCCAGGGGCAAGGCGAAAACCAGGGCAAGGCAAGGCACAGGCAAGGCACAGGCAAGGCACAGGCAAGGCAAGGCACAGGCAAGGCACAGGCACAGGCAAGGTACAGGCAAGGCACAGGCAAGGCAAGGCACAGGCAAGGCACAGGCAAGGCACAGGCAAGGCACAAGCAAGGCACAGGCAAGGCACAGGCAAGACAGAGGATATGACACTTCGACATAAGTTACAGTAACTCATCGGCTAGTTTAGAAAGCGAACGGTTGAATGCGCGGAATTTGACGCAAATTTGTTTCTACACTAATGACAGTTTGGCGTGAGGAAGGGGTTGAGGTCGAGGAGGTTTGATGAGAGGGTACGTTTGATTCGACTTGACTTACCGATTTGTTCGAAAAAAGAAAATAAAGAGGAAAACAGTAAAAAAGCAGAGTCAAATTTGAGGTAGTGGAAGGGTGGTTTAGTGAATACAAAAGTTAAGATTAGGTTTATAATTGGGCTTCACTTTAAGCTTTGGGTTTGGAATTAAGCTGAAGCTTACTATTAGGGTTAAGCTTAGGCTTAAACTCATTCTTAAGTTAAGTTCAAGCTCAGGGTTAGGCTTAGATATAGGCTTAGGTTTAAGCTTAGCTTTAAATTTAGGCTTAGGCTTAGGTTTAGGCTTAGGCTTAGGCTTAGGCTTAGGCTTAGGCTTAGGCTTAGGCTTAGGTTTAGGCTTAGGCTTCGGCTTAGGCTTAGGTTTAGGCTTAGGCTCAGGCTCAAGGTCAAGCTTAGACTTACAATTGTTAGGATTAGACTTAGACTTGGACTTAAGCTCAGGTTTAGTCTTAAACTTAGGCTTGGTTGTATGCGCAACCTCCATCTCTAGGCTTATGGTTAGTGTTAAATTTAGTCTTGGGCGTTACTTTAAATACAAGCATGATTTTAGGCTTAAGCTTAAACCTTAGCTCTGTTTTTGATTAAGAGGCAAACGATAAGACTGAGGCCAAGTTTAAACTTAAGCCTGAATCAGAATTTTAATTTTAACTATTGTAAGAATAAACTTGTCTTATGCTCAATTTCATTCTTGACTTGCCCAGTTTCAACCTTAGCTTAAGCAAACAGCTTATCAAAACCCTTTTGGTAAATCCAAGTTCGCCTGTACTTACACGGCTTTCACGTCTCCCCTCCTCAGGCGTTATCGGCCGCGCTGATCTTGCCTCAAAGCGCGTTGACATTATATTGAATCGGAACACCGCCATTTGATGCGTGAAGATGGGTTCGGCGTTTCAAGTGCAAAAAACGCCGCCGGCACTGCACTCTTTTTTTGTGGCGATCTTATCAGCCCACCGGACTGGTTTCGCACACTGTCAAATACTGTTTTATCGACTGATTTGAGGGATGAGTGAAGGGGTGGGGGTGTTTGAGGATAAGGTTTAGAAAAAAAGTGTAAATAGGGGAGGGAGGGGGGGGGGTTGCTTGAAGTTAATGGTGAAGAAAGCGTGGGAAAGGGGGAGGGGGCGGATAACTTGAAAATTATGTTGAAGAGGGAGAGGGGGGGGGGAGAAACATGGCGTGTTTGGACCTGGAAAGAAAGTTCTTGCCATTTTTTGTTTTGTAAAGAAAGTTCTTGCCATTTTTTCTCTCTAAACCCAATTCTAATCACCCTCCCTTCCCCCCTCCCCCTATTGATGACATAACATTACCCATGTCTCGATTCTCGTCCACCCCTAATCTTTATGTCGCTATGACCGATTAGCGATGCGATTATTCGAATCTCACGGCCTTCAACCTATCACCAAAGATATGTCCGGTCAAAGGCTTGTAATTTGAGAGGGCGGTGTTTTTTGGGGGCAAAAGAATTTTATGATCTGCCATATTATGGGTACCTACAAATTTGGTCGTAAAAATGGTCGATTCTTTTGAAA